ATCGCAATATTTGTTCACCCTGAATCTCTTGTCCTCCCTCTTCGCTCAATTTTGTCATTGAAAAATTTAGAACTGGAAATCCTTCTTTGAAATACTGGAAAACCCGATGTTGCAATTTTGAGCATACTCACAATATATATTTCAGTATTTCAGCATAATATATTATTGATTAATTAGTTAGTTATGCACTAAACTTGTTTGGGAGAGCCACAAGACTTCGAAAAGGGAATATAAAAGCACTTGAAGAAAAGGATTAATAGCTCTAATATCTGAAGTGAATATCAACCCATACGTTGAATTTATTGCGATTTTTTCCCGTCTTTCCTTTCTTTTCATATTTTCAAAAATAATAATGGCTTTAGCAAATGAAGATTGCCTGTAAACCATGAATTTAATCTAATTGAAATTGAAATTTTTCCATATATCGTCGGAGTTAAGCCAACAAACATGTCTTCGTAAATTTGACGTGAAATATGAAAAAATTGCCTGTGAAAACATCAACCTGAATAAACAGTCTTCTTGACAGCACAACTATATCGGGTACTTGACGGGTTTTTCATCGAAATCTATGCCATCTTACAAGAAAATAAAATTTCCCATTTTTTTCTGCGTTTAATTTTCATAAATTTTGATATTCTTTTTTCCAATTAATTATAAATTAATTTTTCCAATATCTTTCTTCCTTTATTCTTGGATAATTAATTAATTGAATAACTAATTAAATTCGATGAAAGTGGATTTTTTCCGCACTTTTTTGCTCCTAATAATGAATTTAAAAATTTGCAAGATGAAATTTGAAATACTTTTAAATTTTAAAAAACGTTTTCAGTAAATAATACAGCTTATAGTGAAAATAACATTGAAAATACGTTGAATGAAATAACAATAAATCGTTGGATCGAAAAATGATCATTTTTGTTTCTACCACAAAATGTTTTACGGAATTCCAATATAATCATGGATGGTATCGCAAAAACATTCAGTCATTCCTAGTCAATCAATCCGTGGAATGCTCTCGATTGATCGGTACTAAAATACTGCTGTTATTATTCCTGTGTTATCGAACCTCTATTGATTTGTTTTGCTCAGTAACTAATCATGGATGGATCCTTTTAACTATATTTACCATATTTTCACATTTTCTAACCATCAATCAAATATATTATCATTTATAATTTTAACAGCAATAGTTTAAACGCATTTCTTATATTGTCGATTTCCTTGTCTTATTCTTTTTCTTATTCTTCTGCGGGCAAACCATTTCTATTTTAGTTTATTCCACTCTATCAGGATTAAACATTTTCTGCCAGAGAATAACATCGATAGTATCTTCAATGACAAGATTTGCTTTCTTCAAAGGACAGTGACTGAATTGAAACGACACCACTCTTGCTATTCCAGTTAACGCTCACATTTGATTTTCTTCACTGGCATGTCAGATCAGACAAATTTCGTCAGGAAATTAACTGGCGATAAAAGTAGAGGTGGGCTACCAGAAATCCAACAGCAGCGCTCCGAAATGCGAGCAACAACCCAATTTCTTCCTATATTTAAAATAAGATAAACAATTTTGCATGGTTTACATTAAATCATCTTCGCAAACTAAATCATATTCATTTGTCACCAATTTTTGCCAAAATTCCAATGAAGAAACATCGTCAAGGTCACCGCATTTTAATTACCCCCGTTGACAACATTGTTCAACTCTTATAGCTCATTTAGTTGAAAGGAGTATTTTGCATAGTATAATCTCTTGCATTACCGTAATTTTTGCTAAACTAATTTTAAGATTAATTTCAAAGCATCGAAATATTATAAATTTATTTTAAACGAAGTTGGTTAAAAAAATGAATGATACTGGCAAAAATTTTGGATGATTTTCGCTTTTTTCCAGAACGATATTTATTTTTTTAATTTATCGATCGGCTAGTCTAATAATTTTTTCTTCGCCACTTCATAACTAGATTCCTCTTCAGCGTTTCAGCAGTTATTATTGTCCTTTCATTTATCACCAGTATTTTATCATTAAATCTGCTGTAAATATGGTCTGAGTTGGTTTTTTTGATAAATGTTGCTTTCAAGAGTTGCGCTAACAGTGTTAATTAATGATAATAGGAATATACGAGGCCTTTGTTCTGATATTTTTTTAAGTTAAAAGATTTTTAAATAATAAATTTTATAATAAATTTTGACTTTCTTATATAAATTTTGTACATTAATGAAATATCTTATTTGCTGACCAGTTCTTCTCTGTTTTTTTGCGGAGAAATAATGACTTTATAGAAACGATAATATATTTCAAATTGTTCATTACCATTTTTAGCAGAAGGTTCTCGAACTTCTCTCGAAAAAATTCTTTATAGGGTCATGAGGTCTCTTGAGAATAGAAATACAGGTGGCTTCCCAGCAACCATCTTAATATCCCTTAATTATTAACAGTATTCAAGAGTGTTCTACGGGATGCATCTTACTGGAATTTTAATTAACTTTTAATACTTAAATGTTGTTAAGCAATGGCCAATTTAGCATCACAATGGCCAATTCGAATAAAAAATTACAAACATTGCAATGTTCATGATTTTATACATCGACATTAACCATTAACTATTTCGGGGTTTTTAATAATGAAATTGATACAAAAAATTACGATTGGCTTTATGCGAAATGAAAACTGTACTTTATTTCACTAAATTTCTAAATTGAAACTGAGTTTTGCCGTTTTCTCAAGAAAATTTATTGAACAAATCATTCATCAACCTTTCATTTTTTCTAGACTTTCTGAGTTTTTCATAATGAAGATGATTTTTATTTTATAAATTTATTTATAAATTAAAATTTTAATGATATAAACTCATGAAATTTGATGCGAGAATCCTTAAAGGTTCTCGAGGATGCTTTCAGCAGGTCGCAATCTTTTTTATAATTTCAAATTTCATTCTTTTTTTTCGTCCTCCATTTTTTTTGATTGTCGAGTTAATTGAAGCAAAAAAATAGAACTTTTTTTCGTAATATTCGCAAAGTTTGCATTTCAAGGAAAGCATTAATTTAAAGTAAAAAAAAAATTTTATGTAAAAATATAAAATTTATCGTTAAATCGAAAAAACAAAAATATTTTCCTTCATTTTTTAAAAATTTTTCTCGTTCTATTGAATTTATTTTAATTCAACAAGCTTAGAAGAATTTCAGTCATTTGCTCAGTCTGCAGTTGCTCCTCATTTTGCTTCGTTCATTTGTTTATATTCTTCATTTACATCCAGTGGTTCTTAAATTTCTTCCCTTAAGGTCTTCTTTAAACATTATTAGAAATTATTGAGGAGTATTTATAGCTTTCGTGTTTCACCGAATTGGAAATCAAAACAAAGCGTAAATATATTACTTTACTGCCTACATGTTATTATTATGATGTGGAATTGGTTTTGGTTTCCAGTAGCAAATAGAAGAAATATTCCACGTTTGTAATAAACATGAACCTTAGGATAATCTCACGTCATGTCAACAAATTAGCAATACGATGCTACTCAACGCTTAACCGTTAACCGTTAACCGTTAACCGTTTATTAATCCACAATCGAACTGAAACTATGGAAGTCTGAGTTTGAATTTAGCATCAGTCTCTCCCTAAATTATTCCATTTAATGCGATGTCATTCAACGCTTTGTTATAAACATCAACCTTATGTCTATATCATATCCCATATCAACTGAAAAAACCTCAGAAACTTGCACATTTCTTAAGTGCTGCTTTAATATAATTGAAATTTTATTTTAAATTGGTTTCCGATTGGTTTGTCATATAAATTCGATAATTTAATTCTTTGCAAATTATTTCGACAAAATTCTCCTAAATGATTTAAACTGCTCCTTTTGCACTAATAATATCAAAAATTTCAATAAAATTTTTAATTAAATGGTGGAAGCATGTAATTATATATGTAGCATAAGCCATAGTTAAAGATTTCATTTGTTCATTTTATGCAAAATAGATTATATAAAATGCAATGCATTTTCAAGCACTTTGTTTATTGTAGCTATTTTAGGCTTTCAATGATAATATATTTGAAGAAAAATTTACTTTATTGATTTTGCATGATAACATCCTATTAGACGAAATTGTCGAAAAGATTTTTTGGTTTTATGAATTTCGCCTGGAAATGAACCTGGAGCTAGAAATAAGAAAGAGAAAAGAAGCAACTGATTTATGATTCGATCAGGATTAAGCAGTCGTTTTTGAGTTTTTATATGTCTAACAAACAATTTCTGCAAAAATTAAATCATACAATCATATAAATACAATCATCTGATAATCAATAAGTTGCAATGAAATTTTTACTAATAAAAAAAAAAGATAAATAAAATTTAGGACTAATCATAGATTTTATTCCACTTGCTATAATTTGTCATGGATTTTACTTTATTTGTGATGATTTTTACAGATTTTATTCCATTTTTTGCAATTTTCCACCAGCTTTTGTGAAAATTTACTTGTGGTTATAAATTTATATAATAAATAAACTAATGATTTTAGGGTGCTAGGCTGCGATGTCCGATTATATCAAACAGGTTGCAGTCACCGGTGATTTATCTACAATTACCAACGATGTATTATATCTTTTATGATGTCATTAATATTTTATATTTTTATTGTTCTCGTCTAAAAATTATTATGGAGGAGAGATAAATGAATAATATGCCATTAAAAATAGTATGCATCTTCGGTAACAAATCCTCGCACCATCGAGAACGTGGAGTCCAATAAAAATTCAAAAAGGATGACCAAATTTTGTGAAATATATGCTTTGTTTCACTCTGAAATTAGCGATTTGGCAGATTAGTTCCCTTTTTTCCAGAGCCGATAAAAAATATTAAAGGGTGTTTCTGGAAATTTATAATGATTGTCGCAACATCCTTCTAAAAATTATTTCATTGCTTTTCAATCATTTCAAAATAAATTAAACAATGATTGATTTATTTTGAAAGAACAATATTGAATATTTTTATAGATGCGACGAAATACAATCATATATAATTCAGGATAAACTTTTAAAAAACTGGTGCGATGAAGTTGCCAAAGAAATCTGGGAACAAAAACCGGAATTCGCCGTAATACATGTGCAAGGATTACGGGAAGCATCAAATCCAGATGCGTTAGCAAGTAAATTAATTAATTGGTAAGTTATTTTCCCGTAAAATTGCTTCGGCTACCTTTAATACTTGTTCGATCATACCGGCACAAATTTAAATTTAATGAGTTTAAATAGTTGGTAAGTATCTTTTATGAGATGAAAAAATTCTTGGATTCAAAATTTATGAAATTCATCGAAAATGTTTTTACAGCAAGTTTAAAGTAAATTTTCAATTTTTTTTTCTCATGGTGATTTTTTTTATTATTCCTATTTAATTCTTCTTTAAATTTTATCTTAGAACAAGCTTTTTAAGCTAAGTATATAACTGGAAAATAGGTTAAAATGGTCAGATTGCTTCGATTAAATTCATGGCGTCATGACTTTGATTCTGTCTAATAATAAAGGCGAAATCCGGATGATATTAGAGACCCAAGTGTATTTCTGTTTCCAAATGATTTTCTGGCGAAGGGATTTCACTCTAGTAGGTAGTAGGACCAGTCAAATCAGGAATGGTGATTATTTATAGCAGAAAAGGACTACGGGGAAACATTTAAAATTCTGCTGCATTCACGAAATTTATACATTTAATATAAAGAAGAATAATAAAGAATAAAGTAAAGCGTTCATCATTTCCGCTTAAGCTCACTGGGATGGTTAATTTTGTCAGGCGACAGAAGGCGATAAAGGTGATACATATCAGCATCCTGCCTTTCAACACGATAATCTAAATCTCTACGACCACCCTACTTCCGAATTTGTGGACTTATTTCGAAAAACATATAAAACATATAGAATTTCATTTTTTAATTTGAAATAATTTTAAATTTTGTTTTTAGTGAAATTTGCATATTCTTATTGAATTAAATTAAATGATTTGGTGTAATTTTTAAAGAAATCTTGTTTCAATGCTTTTTTATAAATTTAAAGCTTTCTGTTCTGTTCATAAAACAGCATTTTATCCTCATTGTGCAGTATTATTAATCGGCAATAGACATGAGTGCCTGCAGTAATAAAATAAAAAAACGATTTAATGGCAAATTTTCAGTTTAATAAATGATTCGATGGAGATTCAAAGACAATTTCCAACAAGTCGAGCATATTTTGATACAGCTGAGACGGTAAGATTTGTCGTCTTGCAAAACATTTTTCAGAACATTTTTCTTCAATATTTTATAGTAAAAATCGTTAAAATAAAATTTTTTAAGGGCCTTGGTTCGATATATTTGTTTCGATCACACACTGAAATAAAATCATTTGATCGTTACAGTAATAGTGGTTACAATACTTTACGAGTCGGTCATCAGTGCGACATTGGAACACCCAATTCCAATGAGTACATTACTAACAGATTTGACAATAGAGCACAATCATATTCGTCAAGATATCATAATAGTTTATATGTTTGTTTATGAATTTTTTTCTCATAAATTCTGAAATCTCCGATTTAATTTTTCTGGAATTTTGAGAATTCGGAAATAGATTTCTTTCATCCACGTGCAGGATCATAAGATTTATTGATTTTCATCCATCCTTTACCAACTTTAATTTAGATGAAAAATTGTTGTACAAAAAAGCAGAACAATAGCTATAGAATGGTACTTATTTTAAATACGGTGATTGATTAATTCAAATAATTGTGGTTGATATTCTCTTATTAATTTAAGCAGTAAGTGATTGGTGCATTTCTGAATATGCTCGTTCTCGTTCTTGTTGGCACAGTTAGAATTTTTTGCCGGAAAGTCAAGTCATTGATTTTTTAACAATAATTTTTTCCTGCCGATGCCATGAATGAGGCGTGTAGCGGGCGCAAATCGAAGTTACCATTCCGACCATGTCCTAAACGTAAAGAAAAACACAAAAATTTTAGCACAATGATGGTAATATTCAAACAGGATATATGTTGGCAAGATTCCGCATTTATGGAAGAGATTTCACTTTTGTTAACTTATGCCTTCATGCTGTACCTTTTGAAGATATTAATGAAATTATTGAACAGGTTCGCTTTTTCAATTTTCTTCTTATGTGCACGTGATGAAAAGCGCCCATTGTTTGCTTAACGCCCATTATTTTTACTCACTCTACCATTTTCACTAGTTTTCTTAGTGCGGCGAAAAAATTTTCGCCAGACCTAAATCATCACTGAGTTTTTTTGATGACCCATTTGTTGCTGTAGGAAATAGTCCGTGTTTTGACACTGGTAACAGTCTAAAACTTGGTCTACCTGAGCAACAAAAACTAGTTATTTTCCACAAAATATAGCAAAATTTTTAGTAATTTTTCCAAAATTTCAAATTTAGAATTATTTTAAGCAGAATTGCATACTTTTTTACCTCAAAATTTTTCATTTTCCCTTAAAATCTCTTCTCGTCGAACTCTCTGCACTGAACACGTTTCACATTTTTTTTCGTACCCACATAATGATGAATGAATAGGTTTTTAATGGGACAATATAAAATTTCGACTTAAGTTTCGAATTTTAAGGCATAATATGAGATTTCAGCCAGAAACAACGAAAGCAGCACAACTGCGTCGCCAACAAATTGATATTCTACTTAAAGAGTATTTTTATAAGCCTTCCTTGAATATTAATAATTATTATGCAAATTATAATACTTAATACTTAATATTAACATTAAATTTTCGTAAGGATTGATTTGCGCCTGTACTGGCCAGGTTGACCGAGTACTGGAGCATAATATGGCAACTGAGGTCAAGCATCATAGGTTCTACTGTTATACTATTCTACTATTCTACTATTCTAAATCTATCATTAAAAGAATTGTGCCTGGAATCTACATGTACTTCCTAAATGATTCCCTAGCGAAGGGTTCTTATTTCAACAACCAGTAATGCTAATCAAATCGGGAATGGTACTATCACTAAAAGTAATTAATTTCCAGTTTCGACGTTCCGACGTTCTCTAAATTTTTTTTCATTCGCTAAAATAAATGATTATCCATCATATTGGATGGAATTTCTTTGAATGAATTTCGCATTTATTCATCTTAATATGAATATATGAAGTGTTTAAAAATTTTTTAAAGATTGGAATCGGAAGGTCTTAAAGATGATTCGATACTTGTTGCTGGAGCTTTTAATGCTCAACTTTTCGAGACAGCTTTGATTAGTGTTAGTTTTTTTCAAAAAAAAGTCGATTTTAACAAACTGAAACAATTAATAATGATAAAGAATGATGAAATATCATCAGATAGCTTAGATTCGTTTATTTAAAAAATTCAGTTCGGCCCGATATGCGATTTATCTCCGCACTTCTTTTCTGTCCTTAGCAAATTAATTTTTATTTTTGGATGATTATTTTTTTTATAATGAGGGCATAACTCTGAATATCCTGAAAAAATTGAAATTTTAAAGGATATGGCACACACACAACGGGCGAAATCATATGCAAAAAAATCTGAAGATGGTCGACTTCAAGGAATCGAGCAACGTGATCGGCACGGAAGAGTTTGATTTTTTCTGATATTCTGATATTAGAATATAAACCATAAAATTATCAGTGATCGTGGGTATAAGACTATACAATAACAAAATTCTACAAAAAATTATATATCCTAGCACTTTCATTCAAGTATAAATTCAGAGTATTCTTACGGTAGAAACGCATCGCTTTGATCTACATTCAATTCACGATTGGTTCTTCCGGCTTGGAAGAGGTCAAATGGTCAAAAAATATAATGGAGAACTAGCACAGGTTGTTTTTGGTGGAAAACTCTTGGAGGAATCCGTTTTCTTTCAGGTATCTCCTTATTTATATTAAAGTTAATGGTAATTCAGAAATAAAAATATCTTAAACAGATACACTCTTAGACTCTCAATATAGACTCTTAAATAAAAATATTATTTTATTTTATTATTTTTTTTCAAAAAAATTCTTAAATCATAAATATTTAAATCATGAATTCCATAAATCACAAATTTAAATTATAATAAATAAGTGGTTAGAACTCATCACTTCTGCACCAATTCCACCAACGGTCAAGTATTTTTTGTTGGAAAATCATTTGGCTAGAGTACAATTTAAGTTTAGCTTAATAAGTATAGCTTAATTTTCAACATCACTTGGATTTTCTAATGATAGGTTAATCCTTGTCAGGGCCCGAATCGAACTTTTGCCTTAAATTTGATAACTCTCTATTTAATGGTAAAAATGGCTATCGTAAATTACAATAACCGTCACTTAATTCGCTAAGATTCATGTTTCTATAAATTTATATAGGTTCCATATGGTTTTATTTTCATAAGATCGCTGTGATAATGATTTTGGTATGATTTTGGCAAATAATTAAATACTACTTGATCTGCGATTTTCATATCATATTTCTGAGAAAATGAAGGGAAATTTGCAGCCATCACGACATTATGGAAAGGATTCAAAGACAAATAAGGAAGAATTCATGAAAAATCTCTGTCCATCATGGGCTGATAGGGTTTTATATAATGAAAAATTGAGTGATCTATTCCGACATGTTAGTTTTTTCATTCAAATTAATATTTTTTTTATTAACTTAAAAAAAATCGTCTTCAAAACCAAGGCAAATAAGACATTTGTATTGCTATTACTATATTTCGTAATTTTTCAAGCCAAATATCTTCTTCTAATACTTTCTACCACTGTTGGTTAAGTTGGCCATATAAGAGTAAGGAATTTTCAAGTTGTTTGATGGACACCATCGTTAAGTAATAGAAGCCATTCATTTTTCAATCGTTGTAGTCCATATATTCACTCATTTGTTCAAAATCTTTCTTGACTATATCAGTCCAGGTCTTGATTGCCACCCCTCGCTTTTGACACCATCCACAGGTTTAGCAAGTAGAGAAAAATGTCAAATCCTGTGATAGGTGACAAAAAATATGCCCTATCCAGCAAAAGCTCTATGAAGCATTGTTAATGTAAATGGTATTTGAGCGAAGGTAAATACAATCGTTTTATCGACTCGACGACTATATCTTAGATATGAGTGGTTAAGGGTAGATTTAACTAATTCTCCACTCTCACTGGCTATGTCTCAGAGCCATATAACGATCGAGCGAATCACGGCTATATAGATTTTCGTTTTGATGGTGATTTTGCCACGGCTCATAAAGTTTAGCCGAGCTGTTATTTCGTCTTTCGCTTGGCAATTTGTAAATCAAATGGATCCAGGATATTTAAAGTCTGGCGCTTCTTCAACTGGACTTGAATTGATAAAAATCGCCATTTTGTCATCTTTTGGTTTATAACACCAAAAGACTTTCGTTTATCATGAGAGACTTTCGCTGCAGTTGTCGACTCATTGTTTAGCATTATTTGCATTTCGTTCCAAATTATGTTAGCACTATGTCATCAGTGTATTCAAGGTTTGTGGTATTACGCCTTGGATTTTTTTTAAATTTTTAAAGGGGAGAATCAAAAATAAAAAAATAAATCAAACAAATAAGTGCTAATGTGAAAAGCATTATTTTCATAGTAATAAGATAGCTACGATGCTTCGAACAATTCATTGATCTTTCGATTTCCTAAAACAGTAAGCTTCACCGACTTCGACAAAGATTTTGAGCTAATTTTCGTTAATAATAATAATAAAAGTTTTTGCAGATTTTATCTGATGCAAAAAGTACTGATAAATAAATTTGTATTAAGGATTCATTTTGTGCATCCGGCTTATATTACGGTTTGGTTGCTGAAAAAACATTTGTTGGCCAACATAAGCCAGTGGCATTGCATGCTACAATATGTCTCAAGTAATTCAATTGAACGATAGAAACGATATAATATTTTTAATATTGTCGAATTCATTCTTATTCCTGAAAGGTGTGATTTAGTAAACCAATGATTTTTATGCAAAATGTGTGGAAATAAAAATTATTTTCCTTAATCTAATTTTTTTAGTATGTAGCACAAGGTCAGTAATTGCATTCAGACATGGGATGACACCCCTTAGTCTCCGGAATCCTATTCTTGGACTTATTTTGGGAAATTACGACTCTATATTAATTATGATTTTCAGAAAATAGAATTCCATCAGTAGAAGGCTTTTTAAAAACGTAATTACAGGTTCGAACTCTTTTCCCCTTTTAAACATAAAAGTTAATAAAATTAAGGAATGCAGAAAAGTTTCGCACAGAATGGTCATATAAAGAGTGTTATGCATATATTTATTAAAAATTTAAAAATGATTAATTTATAATCGAATAAAATCGAAAAAATCTTGATGAAATTTAGCTCTATCTTGCGGATTCAGATTTATGAATAAAATCTATTTGCGATAATTTCATGAGATTTATAAAAGTGAAAAGTTTAAAAATGCAAATCTCTTATAGTTGAAAATTTTTCAATCGATTTCGAAAAAATATTGCAAATATTTCAAAAAAATTTAAAATGAGTTGATATGCATTTAATAATAAACAGAAAAAACTCTAGCTAAAAAATAAACAATATTGAAAAGTTTAAATATATTTGAATATATTTTAGCATATTTGTGTCCAATTAATTAAACAATAATATAAAAACCCTGGATATGTCCCTTACTACTCCGTCAATTACTAAAGCTTCTTAATTAATTCCCTCTCTTTAATCAAAATCATATGAGGAGAAAAATTTTTTGTATTTTCAGTAAAAATGCATAATTAAAAGAAACATAAATGAAGTTTCTCATTATGATGAAATATTCTAATTAAATACTTCCAAATTTTTGTAAAATATTTACAAAAAATAAGGAAGCCAATTTGAAAGTAAATATCACAGCCAACATAGCCGAAATTTAATTATAAATATTGTTCGAAAGATATTTATGGCAAGAAATATAATTATGCGAGAAATATAATCATGCTCAACTTTACTGAACAAAATCTATAGTTTGATTGAAAAGAATACTTTTAGTTGAAACAAGGAAACCAAGGTGACCATCAAATACAAATCTGAAACAACAAAATAAATTCTGTTATAAAATTAATTATATTACCATAATATCTCATTACCATAATGTTCTTCTTCCTCTAATAGTTCACACCATTATTGATTAGGCTCCAATGGCTACTGTCGACAGTAATAAAAGGCATTCTTTTTTCCATCATCTAAGTCCATATATTGCTGGTCCACCTATATGAAATTTTTTCAAAATCTTTCCTGACCATATCAGTCCAGGTCTTGAATGGCCCACCTCGCTTTTGACGCCATCCATCACACATTTCAGCAAGAAACGAAATATGCGGCAACTCCTGTGATGAACGACGGAGAATGTGTCCTAACCAGCGAAGGCGGCGCTCTGTGATAACATTATTTATGCAAGTGATATTTGAACGAAGGTGGATGCGATCTTGTGAGATTTTATCCACTCGGCGAACCAGTAAAATGTATATAGACATGAGTGGTCAAAGGCAGATAATTTCCTAATATATCCTCCATTCTCATTGGCTATGTGTCAAAGTCATATAGCAAGTTCGAACGAATCACGTTTATATAGATGCGGATTTTCGTTCTTATGGTAATTTCACGACCGCTCCATAAAGGTTTCGTCAATCAGAAGAACACATTTCTAGCGGTGATCCGAGTTATCTTCTTTTACCTGGCTATTTGGTATTAAAGTGGATCCAAGATATTAAAAATCTAGCACTTCCTCAACTGGTAATGAATTTATAAAAAGAGGAATTTTATCACCATCTTGTACATAAGACCAAAAAACACTTTCGTTTTATTTACATTATTGACTCTAAGTCCGATTCTCGCTAATACCTTGCTGACACGTCGTTTAGCATTATTTGCATATCGTCATTATTTGCAACTGTCAGCAAAAAAGACTACAGCGTTTTCAAGATATGATGCTCTGGACTGATTTGGACACCTCTTGAGTGCCGACAAGCGGTATCCATTATCCAGTCTAACGCATAACTGCAACTGAGTATTGTAGGGGAAAGGATGCAGCCTTCACAGACACCAATTCTTATTTCGAACTGTCAGTTTCCCATATATATGGACCTGCACCGAAATACACTGATAAGAATCGAATGATCTCTGGTATAACGTAGCGTTTCATCACCCACCAAAGTGTCGTTCTATCAATAGAATGCAGCCGCAAAATCGATGAAATAAGTGAATTGCAAATATTTGAAGCGATGTTATTCTTCTTAACGTGAATATCTGGTCAGCATAAGCGCGCCCTGGTCTGAAACCAGCTTGATTAGGACGCATCCCGTACTTCCATAAGTCTATTGAGTAGCAGAAAAGCAAAAATTTTTGCTGAGACGTCTGGTAGGCTAAGTCCTCGATAACTGTTGCAGTATGTCCTATCACCTTTCTTGAGAACTGGGAGCAGAATTGTTTTTACTCCAATCATCTGGTAATATTTCTTTTTCCCATACCAGAGAGTACATTTTTGAAGGTGCCATCTCCTTATGATGGACGATATTTGAGGAATTCAATCCGAAGATCATCTCCTCCCGGAGTCTTATTGGTCTTAAGCTTATGGATGACGAAGATCATTTCTGTTCGCATTTGCAGTCGGCTAACGTATCAACTATATCAGAGGCAACAGATGGCGCTTTATGGTTAAATTTGGCCTCAAAGAATTCTTTCCATCTTATGCGATCCTTTATACTCTTAACAGGAACGCCATTGCTACTCCTTACCATTTCACTGATCGTTCTCCGAATTATAGTTGTTTTAAGAAGAAAAGTCTCATATAATTATCTATTCGAGACGTAGTCTCCATTCTTGAGGCCATGTCACTCCAATAGTAATTTCTGTCCCACTGTGCTGCTTTCGTTGCAAATCTTTGAAGTATCCGGTAGTCAGGATCACCTGACATTTGTGTTTTGGCTTTTTCAGACAGTTGGACAGCTCCCGATACCCAACTAGCGCACTTTTATACTAGCATACCCTAGTGTGGAAGTGGCTGACTTTCAGAGATTCCTATACTTTGGACCAGTATTCATTTGCCGTTCCAGAAAAATCACTGATATTTGTATCACTGAGATGCTTCAATAATTCAGTTTGAAATGCACTGTCCCCGAATTCTTTAGTTTAGTTTTAGATAGTTGAAGGATCTTGGGGGATGTTGTTTTTTGCCAAATGTTAATTTGCAGATTTTTATGCAGATCTTGGCTCGGACTTAACATGGTCAGATCCATAAAAATTATCCATTCCAGCGCCCCAATAGGAACGACTACCTAGTATGGAATTCTTCCAATGGCGATAATCAAATTGGTTAAAATTGGTTATCCGGGAAGTAAAAAGAATTCTTTTGTATTTTTCAATGTTCCATGATATTTCCTTCACAAAGTTTTTTCCAGAAATTAGCAAAAAATCCAGCAAATGGCAATTAAAATGGGTTGAAATCTATCAGTGATTCAAAAAAGCTAAAAAAAACTAATCAATAATTAAAGTTCGAAAATTTACCTCAAAATTCCTTTATATTGACCAAAAATATATCCATTTTTACAATAAAGAGAAAAACAATGGCAAATAGAATCAAGAATTACTGTTTCATTATCATATATTATCGAAAATGTATTGCTGCAAATACTTATACTAATACTTTTAAAAGAAATTATCTTTTCAATCCAATTCTCTTTACTTGCACAGGAAGTTAGAAGTAAAATTCAAAAATTTTAATATTAAAAATTGGGAAAAAAATGCAGAATAAAAAGAAATTTGCCTTGAATTGAATAAGGAAAGAATAGAAGTAGAAAAATTGCAGTTCCTAAATCGATCTGCAGAAATTTTCTCCGAAATGGCCAATAAATTTTTCAGATCACGGTCGTATGATGACTCATTTAAATGATTTACATTATATGCCGATTTCATTCTAAAGAATATGCATTTTTATATACACAACAAAAGTTATTTGTTATTTATAAAAAAGTTATTTGAAAAAAAAAATGCAAACTGCAAGCACAATTTTATCTGAAAACCCATCTCACTTAATACTCGCATTCCTTGTAATATATTTATTTATTTCAGAAGATCCTTGGTTTTTTAGATAAACTCGTGATTCTTGCGGCAAATAAGCAATTTTTGTAATTCTCCAACTTTCCTCTGAATAACAGCATTCCTTAAAGTTTTGGAATAAAAGATTTATAAAGATTCTCTAAAACAACACATAATATGAATGCACAAAAAATAATGCGTCATTTTTGCTAAGGCCAAACACTGTGGGTTTGATTCCCATCCTTGATGGAAATAAATTTATTGCTACAAGTAAAATTCGTACTGGAGATCCACCTGTGACCCTATGTTTATATATTTGATATCAATAATAAAAATTATATAAATTGTTTTTAATTGTTTTAAAACAAAAATCAGAAAATCGAAAAAAAGTTTAATTAACCTTTTCTTTCCCTTTTATATAATTTTTATAAACATTTCTCTTTATCATGAAAGCAGCAGATGGAGCCACATTTTCAATCCGATATACTAACGAAAAAAAACGGGAACTTTTTACAACATCTATAAATATTAAAAAATAATTATATTCGAATCTTTAAAAACCACATATAATAAGTGAAATAAACCACAGATATAATATTATATAAATCCCTCAAAACTAGAATGAAAAAACGATAGTTAGAAAATATGAGGAAAAAAGGCATTATATATACACAAAGTCATGGTCAGGGCCATTTGACAATAGAGATGCAGATGGGCCGCCAGCAGCTAGTCGGATTTATAACAGATTTACTGTAGCAAAGGTAATTTCGTAATTATGGTTGTCCACACAACTGCTAGTTTGGCTCACTCCACAGGCGATTAGGGTAAGTCGTTTCCAGGCCTTCCGATTCGATCCCATTTCTATAAAATAAATAAGATCACTCCTATTTCTACCATTTCAGCCCGTAAATCACTGAATCATCTACATGTTCAAAATTTCCTCTTACCGCATCAAATCAGATTGCAATTGGTCCTTTCGATGTCATCCACCGCAGGATTATTTAGCAAGTAGCAAATAGCGAGATGTGCATTAAATCCTGCGCTGAAAGACGAAAAACTGGTAAAACATTTATGAAAATATTATTAATATAGATGGTATTCGAGGAAGATGTACGTAATCACGTGGAACTCCACTTGGTGGGCATGAAGGATGCACCTTAAATAAGAATGGCTGAAGACAAAAGTTTTCCGACTTTCATTCTCATTGTGCGTACAACAATCAGATTGATACGTCTCATTCTGAAATTGATTTTGCGACGATTCCAAAGGTTGGCCAAATGAAAAAATATATATCCATCCGAGCTGAAATTTCATCATTCATCTGATCATAAGGGTATATGGAAGGAAGATATTTAAAGCCTAACAATTCTTGAATCATTAATGGTTAATTTATATAGACTACAATCTTATTAGCTTCTGGAATATAAAACGAAATGAATTTCGTTTTTTTTTTACGTATTTGGATGAAATTTTGCTGCTGCTATCAACAACGGTCTAGCGTTTCTCTCGCTGTAAAAAAGCTGAAAAGGTCATACCCTCGGCGTATCGGCGTAAAACTGATTTATACACCACTTCATGTTGAAGGTCTATCATAATTAAATTCAGACTCAAAAAACTTTCACTGTTAGGATGGACAGATGGCCTTAACAAAATTTCCATCCTTATCTCGAAATATTTCGAATGAAGGGTAAGCGAGTAATTTTCGGCCATCTTTTGTATTTTTTTCTTTGGCGAAAGATTTTAAGAAACTATCTGCCATTCTTATAACTTAGTTACAATTAAATTAAATCTCTCCGAAATCGTGGCGGAATACGAAATAAAAGTTCACATCTACCTAGCTGTAGTCCTAATATATAATTGCAAAAACTGGTGAATGAGAGAAAGATATCAAGAAGCCGTCATTGTTAATTATAACTAATTCGGCGTACTCGACAAACGAAAAAGGCTCACGATTTTGTCCATCTTCGCTCGAATTACCATCAATATTAAAAATATTATCACAAAATGCTGCCTAATTTATCCACGTTTTTACTCCACCACAGAAATTAATATATATCGCAGTACTTGCCAAAACGTGATTGATGGCATCAAAGCGCGAAGAACCAATCAAAACCTGGACTGATACGGTCAGAGAAGAAGAAGCTCACATATTAAAGAAAATTAAAAAAAGGAATGCATTCATTTATTTTTAAGAATGGCATCGGATCGAGAGATTTAGAAGCCAAACCAGCAGTGGTACGAGCTCCTAATAAGAAACTGCGAGTTATGTTGTCCTAGCTGAGGTTAAGCACCAAAGGCTCGATTCCCTTTAATGGAAATACATGCATACATATGGAAATACATATTTCAGTGGAAAATAAGTGGAAAACGCTGAATTATGAAAAAAAGAACAATCAATGCAAAATGAGAATAATATAATAACGATATAAGAAAAAAGAACCATTTCTATTCCAGGTTAAGATGACACCTGAACTACCATCATCACTGAACTGCGGTAGCAATCGAGCCAAAAAAGAAAGGAAATCAGATAACAATAGAACATCTTCTTTAATTACAATTAAATATTCACTATAAAACTGATCCATAACTCGACTCATTGATTGAAACATGAGATCTGAATTTTTATGAATAAAACATTCTTGTCTAGAAAGACCATATTGTCACTCTATCAAAATTTGAGATTTCGAGATTTCTAAAATTTTAAAAGATGAGTCTTGGATAAGAATTTTAGAAAAGTCTTTAAGATAAGATTATGATAAAATTCAAATCAAAAAAATAGCAATCAATCAAAAATTTTATAAAAAAAATTACGAGAAAATGAAGAGGGAGCAATAAATTACTGAATTATAAACAGATTTTTGACATAAAAATAATTATATTTACCATTATATGATGATGCATTTTCAATTGGCATAGCATAACCTCCAAATAAATTTGCTAGATCACCAACTTCATTATAAGCAGAATCATAAGCAACTATAACCTTTTGCATGTTAATGCCATTCTGAGCTAAAACACTTTCGAGACACAATCGAATATTATTCATATTCAATCCTGTAATTTTTAACTTGACATGAAGAATCAAAATTACGACTTTTTGAAATATAAAAAATTGCCTTTTACAATTGGGCTCTGATTTGTGTATAATGTTAAATTCTCTTCGAATAAAGTTTAAAATAAAAATTAAACATAACAACCAAGCAGTACGTGGCAAAAAAAGCGAAAATAATATAATTAATACAACATATAAAGTAAAAACAAAATCAAAAGCAGAAAAAAAGTATCGACAATAAATTGGAATTCAGAGAAATACTGTAAAAAAAAGAAATAATAAATAGAGAACTATAGAACAGCGTAGTATATTTATTTATAGTACATGCTCACTAATTTCTTGTAAAAACATTATTTATAAAAATATACTAATGTTAAAGTTGTAGGATAAGACAACGTTTTAGAGCTTATTTCTTCTCCCTCTCTCCCTGGCCCTCACCAAAAATCTCTTCAATCTATTATTTTTAGTGGTGCTGACATTTAAACTTAAGTCATAATGATTTTTGCAGATATAATCGAATCCAACCGAAATCTTGCAAGTGAAAATTAAATTTTATTTGATTCTTTTGATTCTAAACGTATAACCTGTTTCAAATACTTTTATTTTATCAGCTTTTCACTAATTATTTCTTTTTTTCAACAAAAAAATCATATAACCAAAAAAGACTGACCACCAACAATCAATAAAGGCACCGAGAATATAGGATGAAATGCAAATGACGAATTGGATAAAGGATGCGGCAGTAAAGGTAAATCCAGATTTTCATCTGAAAATTTCGTTTTTATTTTATTTCGTTTTCATTTATTAATTGGTGCAAAAAAATGAAACGACTTGCAAGAAATGAAATTAAAACTAACATGTGCCTTCCGTTGAAAATCTCGCCCCAAAAAATTTTTTAAGGCTTTTAGAAACATAGAAAAAAATTCTGCGTTGGTCTTAAACTAAGCAAAATTTAAAATAAGGTATTTTTAAAACTTGAACCGGAACAAAAATCTTCATAACCATCGTATTTTGCACAAAAGTGACGACGTAGTGTGTTCTGATTGAAGCTATTATATTTTGAATCTTCAAATCCGCTGACTGAAAATAACTTTATGGGATGGGGTTGTGGGAAAAAATGCTTATCTAAATAAATATTTCATAAAAATAAAACAAGTGAAGTAAAGGAAAAATTTTACACTCTTAGATAAATAACTACACTACCTTTAAATTAAAAATTTTCTTTGATACTTTAATTGATTCTAAAGCACATTAATTTTATAACAAAATCCATTCATGGAAACTGGAAAACTAACGGTTATATGGCACACACATTCTTTTATTAATTGGTTTGGCCCAATCGACTCCTGATGATAATATTAAATCTTCAAAAGGAGAGAACCCATTAATGCCTTTCTGACCAACAAAATACCACGAAGAACGAAATTTAATATTATGAATAAGACTGGACCCAAATTCGTAAAAAATCTGTTTTGCCATACCTGATAATCTGGAAGAAATCATAAAGCCACATTTCACAAATATTTTATTTATTTTATATTTATATATTTATATAAGACTTGCAAAATCCTTAATGGCAAACAGTGACCGAAAAAACATTAATATTAAAACATTAACCTGTTTGAAGCTTCATCAAAACTAACTACAGCAATTAGTTCGCCAACAACAACTTTTTCCAGAAACAAAATTAATTCAGTGCTATCTGAAAATGAATCCTTAAAGCATATATTTACTAAAAAACCATCAAATCGCTTGCATAAACGCACTTATATCTTAAAAACTTTATAAGCTTTTGATAAACAGATAACCTTGTTCATACGTATCAAAACGCCCATGACGTATAACGCTTCGAGTTTTTGCGTTTACCACAATAATATTTAATCCTCTACCAGCATTGTTTAATCCACGATCGAATACACTGGACGATAAAAGCTTTTTAAATTTTTTTGTAAAATAAATAAAGATAATGGATTATGGACTATGAATTTGCAATTAAAGGAGTAATCACGATATGATAGGAATGTGAAATCAAAATATTGGATATGAAAAAGAAATATTTACAAACGTCCATTAACACAAATTTTAGGTGCATCGTCCTTATCTTTTCCTGAATAAAACGACATCGCCATCTGATCTAAAAAGTACACCAGTACACCAGACTGCCATAAAATACCCTTGAATTATTTTAAACAGGTACCTGAGGCACAATTCTGCTTTAATCCGCAATTATTCAAGTTTTTTCCAAATGTAATTCGCATGCTTTTCTTTGAAATAAATGGGTCAATCGATAAATCACTTGGTCCGAGTTCAGTATATGCAGAGTCGTTTATTTCTTTTTTAAATATATTCTTAACTAAAATTACGCATTCGAAATCCAGAAATATTTAATGAAAAAATTTTAAATTTGAGAAATTGAACACTCACGCGGCAAACAATAGGATGATGCTTCAGATTTCGAACTTAGAAACGTAATCTGAAAAATATAATAAAATTAAAATTTTAAAAATTTTCACGCCCATTTGAATTCTAAATGGCTAACCTTTTCAAAAGCATTGGATGGTGGTAAACCACGCTGACCAATAAAAACTAGATTGTGATCTGCTTCATAATTTTCAAGTGACGATAATCCGAATGATGAAAGCAGATGACCAGATTCGTTTAAAATCCTGTAAAAATGGCGCCAAATTCCATAAAAATAATGAATTTATTTTTCAAAAGTAATAATTTTATTAGGAACACATTTATATATATGAGAAGCCCAGGCATTTGCATTATCAGCATGACAGGTTCTCGCCTGCCAAAGAGTAGGGCAGCACGAACCAACGACATATATATATATATATAAAATAATTTTACTGTTCATACCAAAAAAATTATATCCACATAAAAAAAATTTGTTAAATTAAAAAGTTTTATAGAAAATCAGAAAATAAAAAATAATTAGTAAAAACACATAAAAAAAACTGACTTAGAAGCGATATCACCATAAGACACAATAACAATAAATTTTGGACTACGCAAATGTTTTAGGAATTCAATAAATCGATCATCGTTAAGTTTACTGACATATAGTGAATCTTCCAATTCAAAACTATTGTCTAAAAATATTTCATACCTTAACTAGAAATTTAAGAAAAAAAAGAATGTTAAAATATTGATATGAAATGAAAGAACCATTAAGAAGAGCAATATTTAAGCCTTTGACCAATGAGTCCTTCTTGAAAATCCTGGAAAAATATATCAATTTTTTCATTACGGTTATTTTATTAACGAATTCTTTAAGAAAGTCAACTTGAAAAATAATAGCGGAATTTATCAAGGAATTTATAATAATCCTTTTCAAAATTCAAGTCCAAATGTGGTATGAGGTAGTAAGTAACGGTCTCCTAACCTTCACATGATGAAAGGGCTTCACTCGGTAATAAGTATAAGTCAGTGCATTGAATTCAAGCTGTGTAACTTATATATTAAGCAAATCAAGTAAATATATATATGTATTATCACTGTTAAAAAAAAGACAGAAAAATTTTAGAAAAACTAACAATTTATAATTGAGGCAAATTACTGGCGGATTTGTTATCGAAGCAGATAACATCCATATATTTAGATACGAGTCTGGGCATTTAAGATTAGCCCCACATTCATTTACTGAAAATTTTCAAAAAATTATCTATAATGATTGTATAATTGTTATATAACATAAATATAATATTTTAAATACGAAAAATTTGATGAAAAAGGCAAATTAGGAAAAATTTAGCAAAATTTTTTCTTTAATTAATTTAAACAACAAAATATGTATATAATCTGGTCGAATTAAATTGAAAAATTTGGCGTCTTTTCCATGAGTTCAGTATTTTTTTTACATCAATATTAAACAGAAATAACAAAAAATATTTGCCGGCTTCCGACAATTGACTCTGCTGTTCCATCAGTTGCCAGCAAGAAGACGTCATATATTCTCTCCTTAATTCCTTCTTCCTTCTTTTCTTTTCACTCTCTTTCAGATTTTATATAGAACAAAGTAAAAGCAATTACAGGAATTTGTTAGTCCACAACCCCACAACCGATCAGACAACCGATAAATATCAAATGAAAAAATTTTATTATAAAATTATTTATTTTAGAATTGAATTAAAATTGTAGCTAAAAAATAAAATAATAAAAAAATAAAAAACCTTGAAATGGCCGATAAATATTTTTTTTATAATTATTAACGAATAAAACTGAATAAAATATGAGATAAGCGGAAAGAAGAAATAACAAAATAACGGCAAATTTTGAAGGAAACAGATTCGCCATTTCTCTTCTTCCATTTAATTCATTTCATTTAATAACCGAAAACAAATAATTAAATCAAATAAATAATAAAAAATTAATATAAAAAAGGATTTCATTAGAATATTTCTTTCGAAATAATAAAGAAGATTTTAACGGTTTAATGAAACGAAATTATTGAAAATTAATCTGTAAAATTTTCAAATTTTTTATGTTATTTATATATTTTTTAAACATAATTAACGAATGGATGAAAAGTAAACCGATGCAAAAATCTAACTAAACGGAAAATAAATTAATTTAAAAGAATGTTTGCGTGCAGAAACTAACCGTATGACAATTTCGCGTGTGCAAAACAATAGTCCGCAAATGATTCATTTAAAATATAAATCAAACTGATTGAAGCAAATAACAATAAATAAAACTCAAAAATAAACCAAAAAAAATACGGAGAATCTCATTTAAAAGAAAACTTTTTGGAATGAAATCAGCCACGAAAAAATAAACCACAGCAATTAAGTAAATAATCGAATGAAACTAGCAACTGTCAAGCATCATACCAGTGGGCCATTGTCTGGCACCATATAAACGACTCATGAAGAAAATGCATGAAAGATAAAACCGCCCTGTTACTTTACTAGGGACAACAAACAAGCCAGAAATTCAGAAATTCCTATCCGCAAAGGATGATTGCCAATTCAACTGAAAACCGACAATTAGTATTAAAAATGATGCAGCCGCATTACAATAGTTAGCCGCACCAATAACCTGATAATTGATTAGATGACAATCAATTATATTGCTAAGTGGATAAATAAAACTAAGACCGCACAAGCAACGAGATTTCAGCACCCCAAACGAATCTACAGAGATGCCAAAACTTTGCCACGAGCCGGGATCGAACCGGCGACCTTTAGATCTTCAGTCTAACGCTCTCCCTACTGAGCTATCATGGCTTCACAGCCTGGTTGTGACGAAATAGAATATAATGAATATATTGGACATAAAACTCGGTAAATTCTGTATATTTATTGATGCAAGTAATTTGGCAAAAAATTAGTGTAAAAAGAAGGCTCAACCTCTGTGATGCCATGGGTCTTGCTCAGCCTCTACCAAAGACCAGGGAGTTTGAAGGTTCTGCACAGTAACTGTTTCATCTTGCAGTGCACCTTTCAGTGGGGGGGGGGGGTATATTTCTATTGAGGGCATTTTTCTAGTTTAGAGGTCATCCCTGAATGCTCTTACCACCACTGCGGTCACTTTTGCCTTCACTTTCCACATCTCTGATTTACCTTTGAGGCCCCAATATCTCTCTATCTTCTCATATTCCGTTATATCACCAGTGATTTCTGGTTCTTACCATGATATCCATTTGGTTGATCAATACGTGCTGTCCTTCTGGAGGAGAGAGTTCTACTTTGGCTTTATTATTTTCCACGATCTTCTGTGGAATCTCCCATCTGGAAGAGTTTGAGACTCATACTGCGGAGGTATTCCTGTGGACAATGTTAGCTACTTGGTTATGCCGTTCAGTAATACAGTTCTCGCCTGCATCACATTCTGCCACTACGTCTTGAATAGTTCCTAAGACCTTTTTGCTCAGACATTTTTTTTCTATGCAATCTATACCTTGTTTTCTGTTTTCTGTTTCTGTTGTTTTCTGTTTACGTGTTTCTCCTTCGATGCGTCTATGTTTTAGGGCTTGCTCGTTCTTTTGGTGTCATCTGGTATATTCCGGATTGCTCCAGGCTCGTTTCATGACAATCACTTTTATGCTGATTCTCTAAGCACCATTCTTATGCTGACGTATATTTTTCAAATTTTAGACTTGGAAATATCAATTTCTGGAAATCTGGAAATATGTGGGGAATTCCGAAATCCACATCCTTTTTTAATTAATTCTGATACATACGGTCATGGTCCGTAGTGTTTCTATTACCACTGGGGCTTTTGACCTTTACTTTCCACACCTTCTATATTTCCTATTTCAGCCTCTGGTATTTCTTATATTTCTTTGTGTTCCAGTCAATTGGTATTGCTGTATATCTATATCACCAGTGCTGATTTTTAGTTCTTATCTATTATCACGATATCTGATTGGTTGGCCAATATTTATTTCCGTGGATGGAGAAATCGCACGGGGTCTTGTCATTATTTTTCGCGATTTCTCGGTAGATTCCCTATTGAGCTCCCTGCTCAGGATCTGTATTTTTTGGTGGTACTTGGATGGATGTTGCATTCCGTACTTTCTCATCGTGGATTCTCATGTGATCGTATTTGTTAAGTTCCTAGCTGAAAGCATTCGAGAAAACAATGCCACGAGCCGGGGTAGAACCAGCGACCTTTAGGTCTTCAGTCTAACTCTCTCCCTGCTGAGCTACCATGGCAATGATTTTAATCAAGTGATTCTTTTCAAACGGATAACAACAATGGTTGATTATAACAAAACATTAAGTGAAATGGTCAATACATCTCTAGGAAACTTGGTGTTGATAAGGTACTAGAAATATTCCATAGTAGCTGCGAACCAATTAACACGGCAGTTAACACGGCTCGGATTCATTTCAAGCCATTCACAGCCATTTAGCATGAATTTCACCTTTGAGCGAAAAATAAAATTTTCAAAATTCTTGCGCGTCACTTTATTTTACTTTTCATTTTATCCAGTAAATAATACAGCCCAAAACTTATTATATTCATGTATTTCAGTCATATGTGCTATAAACTACCCATTACATGATAAGTAAAAAAAGAAATTGCACTAATCTATCATTTCAAGCTTAAGTCTATCATATGGCTATCCATCTATGCATGCAAGTAGAAGCAAGAATATGTTGCTACCACAGTTGAGAACTTGGGTTAATCCTATGCCAGAAATTATCTACTACTTGCATGGCTTGTTTCTATACAATAAATAAGAATAAAAGAAAATAACAGAAAATCTAGAATTTATGAGGAAAAACTAATTTAAAATAAGAATATATCAAGACAGAATGTGTATATCAAATATCCCTTCTTTTAAAGCGATCTAACACTGATTTAACTTTTTGTTCAACTGGTTTCTGCATTTTTGTAGGTAAGAATTTCTGTTCAGCCTTTTTGCGTCCTTCATTCTGCGCAAATCTCATTTCAGAACGAACTCCCTGTTTGCGCTGTTCCTATAAAACAAAGATCTCAATTTTTTACCATTCATTTTTTTTGGAAATTTGAAGTTCTGAAGATGATTAAATTTTTTTGCTTAATGATGTTGTATTATTTTTATTCTTTGAATAAAACTTAAAATCTCTTGAAAATATATACAAAACTTTTATTTTTTTCTTCCACTATGGCCGTATTAACACGAAATTTTTCAGCTGCAATTAGCTTAGATAACTGATCGCTGGTTTTTCTACTTATTTCTAAAAAAATATAAAAAATAAAAATGGGAAAAAGTGGGGAAATCTTTTAAAATAAAATTTTCAAGAATGAAAATTGTTTAAAGTAACGAATTAAACCTTCTTTAGCGCATCACTGCGTCCTTTTTTCTTATTTCTCGGTTGGAATTTAATTTCTCTTGGCTTTATATACAGCATTTTCTGTAATCTCTCACTTTCTTCTTTCATTATATCTGTATTGATTTGAAAAATTTCGGTTGTATCAAGAGCAATGAGTTCGGGCTGTATCTAAATACCTTTAATTGGTGCAAAAATTCGGAGCCAAATTGTTTCATGAATGTAAAAGATAGAAAAATACAAAAATACTCACTTTATCTAGAAGTTGCTTCACTTCACGTTCTCTTCGTTGACTTTTCGATTCATATGGATTGGATAAAAGTGCATTAAAATTAGGGTTACCACATCCTAAATTTTATCTATCATCAGAAAGAACAATGTGTTTCTTAACATGATTTAACAAGATAACTGATAAAATAATTTTTGATAATAAATGGCATATTATCAATCTAACTACAGTGAAATACAATTTAATCACAAAAAACCAACCAGGTACTAATAAACTTGTGAAACCGTTTCGATGACCAACTCCAAGGACATCTTCAAAAGGACAAAACTGAAGATTATGAACTGTTTCAGCACAACGATGAAATAAAAAAGGTTCTACTGAAGCTCCCAAATGTGCATCATTAAAAATCTGCAGAAAAAATCATTTTTTCATATAGAAACTGATAGAATCTAAGTAAATAATTAGCTAAGAGGAAGGAGCAAACTTGTCCAAAAATCCAGGTGATGTTGACTGTATTTCTACATTATTATTACCGCCAAGGGACTCCCAGGAATATGTCCAGTGCGACAATTCAGCGGAAAAAATTTAATCAGTATCGGTGATGACTCAAAAATTGGCCAAGATAACCAAAAGCAAATCTTAACAGAGTACCTGAATAGTGCTACCAACACCGACTGCAAGGGAATATTTCTGGCTAAAAGCAACTTGAGATAATCCAAAAGGCAGTCTATACGAGAATAAGCTTTTGTAATTTCGCACATCCCATATCCTGAAAAATAAATATGCAGAAAAATTTTCAAAATAGATTTTTGATCAAAGAGCTTGTTAATAAAATTCCTATATAGTCAGCATTTAAGTTAAAAATCCTAATTCTGATTTTTAAATTATTTTGATTTGATTTATTATCGACATATTTTAACAAAAAACCTAAGAAATCGATCAAGACCAGTGGAAGCCATATAATGGCCTTCGACTGAAATACCCTGCACTGTACATGGATGTGCGAGTAATTTTATCAAGGGCTCACGTACGTTTGGCGACCACAGCTGTATCGTGCCTGCAAAATTAACATTTAAGAAAAAAGGAAATCATAAATTTAATCCATAAAATAAAAAGTTTATCATTTTGAAAGCTGAACAATGTGCTCTATGACATTTTACATATTTTAATATTTTTATTTTCATATTCTTCTTTGATTCTATATTTTCGGACTTAAACTCACCATTCCCATGTCCAGTATGGATAATAGCATTATTTGGGTTCTGAGTCATGACATCGAGAGGTCCTTGTCGCGTTGGAAAAGACTGTATTAACTTACCTAATGACACATCAAGATAATGCAGAAATGATGTTTTGGCCTAAATGCTACCATAAAAAATGATGTATAGTTCGATGGGATTAATTTAATGACAACACAATAATTTCAATTCTAGTCCTTTTAAGATTGTTTAATCTGCAAATTTTTCAAAAATATAAAGTTACTGCAAATTAATTGTAAAATAACTGCAAATAAATAAATAATTCTTTAAGATAATTTTTGACTTACTCCAGCTACAAGTAAAAAATGCCTTGGAAGAAATTCCAATTGCCTGATATCATGAAGGTTTTTCAGACAATGCAGTTCAGTGCCTTTATTATCATATATATATGTCCAGCGTTTCTGAGCGACAGCATACATTGTTTCAACATGCAACCATCTGGATAATAAATAACAGGATAAATTTTTCGAATGAAAAGAAAAAATTACGAAAAATTAATTTACTTAATAATAATAAATCAATCTTGAAAGTAAATTAATGAATTACAAATTAAACTAAATTAATAAATAGCAAAATCATAATATAAATAACAAAAAATCCGGGATTAACTAAAGTTTGTCATTTTAAAATTGAACTTAAAAATCATTTTAAAAAAACTGATAAAATCTAAACAAATAAATAGTAATCATCAAAATAACCAAAAAATAACCAAAAGCTAATCTAAACAGAGTATATGAATAAAAGATTGAAACTGAAAGATTGAAATTAGTTTCAAAAAGGAAAACTAACTTTATATCATGAATACTTTCTAAAACATTAGTTTCGTTAAGTAATTTTTTGGTTAACCAGTCGAAAGCAGCCACATGACCACGTCTACCACCAATCAACAAAAATCTTCCATTAGGTGTATAATCGATTTGATAAGGACCAAATCTCTCCAAAATCAAGTCAAAATGCTATAAATAAATTTTTATAATAACATTTTTAAACTAAAATTAAAATCTTGCGAACCGCTTTTTTTCTTTAGAAATATTAGAAATATTAAAATCACTTTTAACAGTTTATTAACAATCAACAGTTAGTTCAACAGATATATAATTATAGCTTTTAGGAATAAAAAAGTGCCGAACCTTACTGGCACTCGCAAGATCAACTGCGGCACAAATTTCGTTTTGCCGAATTGCATATGTGCGCTCATCATTATCAGGAAGAAGAAAACTAAACGATTACGCAAAACATTAAAGATTCATTTACAACCATTGAAAAGAAAAACAATAGAAAATCACCAAACATTAATGGAGTAAATTGATAAACAATTTTCTTAATTGTAAATGTTGAATGAATAATAATTTTACCCTTTTTCCTCAAAATTTAATATTTCAGCCCGAGCGGTTTCTCTGATTCTTTCGATATACTTCTCTTTCTTTTTTCTCAGTATTTCTTGATGAAACTTGGTGCGAAGACTTTTCTAAATGATAAAATTATATTGTTACGATTTTGAATGGCATATGATACACAATTTCGGAAAAATATTCAGCGTTAAAACAAAAATAAACCGGATTAATTTCCGAAGCACCAGTGTCATGCAACGCAAGACTCTCTTTCGGTATTATTATTTCTCTATCTTCTCGCAGTTTTTGCATATTAAGCAATTCATCTTCATTTGTAAATTTTTGTTTTTTAAATCCATTTTTCCTAAACCATTAATTAGATTAATTTCTTAAAAGTTTGCACGTTATAGAATATATTCAATAATGAAAGAAATTATAAATATTTCGATATTCGAGCATCGAACTTTTATGAAATTCATACTGCAATTAGTAAAATAATCTGCAATTGCTGAATCCATTCAAACAAAAATTATTACAATTACTGTTCAGTATCGTACAAATTTGAAAGTTTCTATTGTTCAGATGAGATTCACACCTCGAAGATACACCAAGACACTTCAAGACTTATGCCGTATTTTGTAGTGGAAATGAAATGCAAAAGAATTTGTACAGATTTAATATAAAATTTCGTCGTTCCATATCGACATCGCATAAAAAAACAATTGGCAAATGGATATTTCATGAATTGATTGAACATTAAAAGAACCACGTTTACAAAAATATTTCGCTATCAATACGATAAAAACGTTTTATTCTGGAATGAAAGCAAACTACCAGAAACTGCATATATAACATCTAGGGCTAGTCTAACTTTTCCATTGAAGTCCTTCTTCATCTACCATATTTCCTCACCTTCCCCCAGCATACTCTTAATTTTTCTTGTTCCTCTCGAACTTCATCAAAGAGAAGCTTTCAAAAGAATCTTGGAAATACCTTCAAGCAATTTCCACTAGTTCCACAAAGTCAGAGTTTTAAGAAATATATGCACTTATATCATAGTGGCAATAGTACACTCAGTGTGCTTATTCTGAGTAAAAATACTGAATTTTTCGAAATTTCGTCTGGAATTAAAAATGAAATTTCTTAAAAATTTTCCATAAAACATTTCTAAGTGCTTTTCTGTATGTATTCTACGTCATCAAAAGAATAATTCATTTCTTCGTTTAAAGAACTAATAAAAAGCACCACAGTCAACGGCCAAAGTACTAAGAGGTGAAAATATTGGTGTTTTGGCGAATAATAAAAATAATTTCATCAAAATTTGAAGGAACATAGTTTTTCACTAAGCCATTATTTTTAAGTGCACTTATCAGCAGAGAATATGCTTATCAGCCTTACACTAAACTAAGTTATGGGATACCACGCTGCTCATCACCATCACCATACCACGCACCAGCGCCCACACACCTCCTATTCTTACGTTGTTTTCTTTTTTTATGAGTGAAAGTGTGCGCGAAAAAAAATTTTGGCGCCCGGAAAGGAATAAAACTCATTACAAAAACTGATGATAATGGTTTACTTCGGAAACGTTCTTTTGAATTTATAATTAAATCTGTTCTCCTTGCTGACAACTTTTCGCACTTCAAAACGAATTTCCTTCGGTTTTAAGTCGATAATTTCTGATTTAATTTCATCATTTTCTGACATTTCTGTAAATTTATTTCAGTTTCAAACATTTAGCAATCGATAAGACTTTTAAAAAATTCTCTAATTTCTTAATAATTAATTACAACCAATAACTAAAAAATTGACCAAATTTGTTCGCAAATTACTTGAATTCACCGAAAAGCGAGAAAATGCACACTACGACCAAAGCAAAACCCTCGCCCACTTCTTTCATCTTTTAAAAACTTTATTCATTTCCATTTGCCATTTTTTACTAAATGCACCGTATAGTTTTCCTATATTCGTTTCAAGATCAAAAAACTTTAGCAGCTCAAAACTTTTCAAATTCTTTAACGACTAAATTCAGGCAAGAATTGTTTCTAACCATTCATTCATTAATCGAGAGATATTTAAAGCAATTTCCCAAGGAAGATTTGGCTTGGACTGTAGTACGCATTTGATCATTTAAAAATATTCAATTAATTCTGGAAAAAATTTTTTCCTAAACATCTGATCAACTTCGATAAAACTTTGACCTTTGAATATTCACCATCTAAACTCAAAACTTTTTGGCCACTAAAAAATAGAGAAAGAGATGAGAGATTACACGATTAAACTTAACCAATTCCCTAGTTTATGTTTATGATTCTTTATCTTCTTTTAGCTTTGTTTCCTCATTTTCAGCCTTACACTGACGAAAGAATTTTCTGTTTAAATATAACCATATATGAGATGTAAACCGAATCAAAAAGAAATTTATTATTAATGCAAAACATGCACTTTGTACTACGTAGGCACCATCAAATTGAATTAAAATAATGACTAAATGCATGTGGCAACCAGCTTTTAAAAATCAAAACCAAAAAGATTAAAAAGAAAATCGAGAAAAATTTGTAATATAAACGATAAAACGAATTTGCATCGAATTATGCATGCGATGGTTGCATTTCAGTGCGGATTGTTTCCAAACAATTTTCTGCAATAATTATTTAAGATCAAAAATAAATTAATAGCTCTCAAAGTTTTACAGAAATAAAAACTTCATATCAAGTCAACAAACTATTACGAAAAGTTTTTTTATCCATGAGTAACTTTAACGATTTGCTTCGAAATTATTATGGCTGAAAAAATTCCTAAGAAAATCAGATGACGATTATCTGGATTAAAAATAATCTTACGACATGAATCTTCATTGGTCAGATCCACTTTTTCACAACTGGAAGCACAACAATGATTTTCTTTTTCTTTTTTTACGATATTCCGATCTGAATAAATGGCGAAAAATTGTAAAATTAAGCTAAAAATTAGTGCAACACAAATTAAGAAAAGGAAACGCACTTATGAAATTTCGCTGAAATAATTTGAATTTATGCATCAAGAATGAAAAAAAACTTCTGAAATCCCGTCCGCGACGCTTACGTGGCTTTCCATTGTTCACAACACCATTCTCTTCTTTCTGCGCTGGACGATGACCGTTAAAAATATTCATCGAATTCATCATTCCCGTCACCTCATCCAAATCAAAAAATCAAATCATTATTAAGCCAGAGCGAATCGAAATCTAGTCTTATCAATTTATTATTAGAAGGATTAAATTCACCTCTAGCGAAATTATTATTTTTGCGCAAAGTTCTCCATCCTCTTAAGGCTTCAATATAGCAGCGACGGAAAGAATAAAACTGAAAATTGTGATAGCGACTTCCACGCACCTATAAATAAAACATGAAATCGCTGAATGGAATTTATCAAAATTTGTGCATTTGTGCTAATTCCAGCTTTTCTATAAAAATAAAACATATTACTTCAGAACCATTTGGTCCAGTAACATTTGCTGCTTCGGTCCCCTTTTCTCCTTTTACGATATCAAAAACTACCATCTCACCATCGCCCAGTGTACGCAAATATGGTTTAATTATACGAGATTTTGCTATGGCCGACTATAAGAATTAGTTTACAAAATATTTTTAAAAATATTTATTTTATTTTTTAAAAATAAAGCAATGGTCGAATTACTACTTGAATAAAATTCAAGCTCTGAGTACCGAAAATTATATAAATTAAATTATATATAAATTAAAATTAATTATAGATCGAATTTTAAATCCATAATAATTTTGCTAAGATTTTGAGCTTCTGGAAAGCGACAGGATGACAAAAGATATTCAGCGATATAATTATTAAATTTTTCTTTTATGAATAATTTTTCTTTAAAAAATCCAAAAAATCTGTGAATTCTTCCACAAATTCAATAAAATAATTAGGCTTCCCAGTAAGACTGAACAAATGCTTCCCATGTATTTCATTCTCATATGATTTCCATGTATTATTTCTGAATTTTTGAATGAAATTATAAAAATAAAAAACTAAACAGAAGGAGAAAACCTGATGAACGAAAATATCATCGCCGTCATTGTCAATTCGCTTTATAAAACCATAGTGAAGGCGCACATTGTACCATTTAACTACACCCATAATGCCTGAAATTTTTTAAAGAAAAATTTTGGGTACACAAAATAACTGCGGCAAATTCGACCCATAAAAATCCACCAGAGTTCTAATAATAATTGAATATCAAGATTTATAATAATTTAGATTCACTTATATATATGTTTATCCAATGTTGATCTAATCGATTTGGGCTCCACTTCCCCTTTTACGTTTTAATTTTTCTTTGATTGGTATTTTTATTTTTATTCGAATTTTTAATTTAATTTTTCAATTGATGTTTTTTCCAGTCTTCCTTAAAAATTTTGTAATTAATTATGAAATGATATTTTTATTTGGGCAGGAGTAGACTTTTCGTCAAACTGCTGCGACGGAGTCATGGCCATAGCTGCATGGAATAATTGAACTCTTATGGATGTAGTGGGTTAGGCGACAATCGTCCACCTTTATCGAAATATCATGTGGATATTCATTCCCCTGTCGTAAGCCTGCCTTCGCAATTCTCAGATCCAGAGCAACGATTATACTCTGTTTCGGATAAAAAACGGCTATACAGTAGCGATATTGTGGTCGAATCAAATAGAAATGGATTCGTAATATTCATTAATTAGCTTCAATGGTGTGGAATTCTATTAATGAGCGATTGGTCCACGACCGTCTTAATGGTACATTTTGCAATATTTCGGTCGTCACTATACAATTCTTACCTATGTTATGAAGCATGTATAAAGTCAGATTCTACGACAAGTTGAACTTACTAGCAGCATCTCTCCCAAAAAGCGGCCTAACCGTATTATGGAAGATCGGAATGCGCGCGTAGGACACTGAGGATATCCAACTATTTTTTGTGGCTAATCCCAAATATGGAGTTGGAGCTAGGTGTGACCATGGATAGCATTTCTTTGGCTCTCGATGTGTAATATGAAAACTTTTTGTTACCAATGCATGTTTTTTTCAGCACTGGAGGTTACATCGCCAAATAACGTTCCAACTATTCTGATTATATTCTGGTCAATCATCAATAGGACACTTCTATTACCTAGAGTACATTGAAAACCTAAAACTGGCAAATCTCCACAGATCAAACCAACTTGGTTAGAACCAAGATCCGAAAACTGTCATGCGCAAAATACGGTATTCGTCAAAATTATTCAAAATTTTTGATTATCTCAAATTAAAAGTTGATATCTTCCAAATTGAAGTGCTGACGCTCTATAATTGAAGTGAATTATAGAGCGTTTAAACGAACTAGGTGGAAAGCACGAATAGAGCGTCTAATTCCTGATTCTGCTGCCAGAGTGCCAGAGTCAAGATTTCCTCTTGACTCTACAATTCGCAAGCTTAAGGCCAATAAATTCCTCGGAAAAGATGGCCTATGAGCTAAACTCTTCAAATACTGCCTAACTTTCTTCACAATATGCTTGCAAAAGTTATATTCATTATATTCATTGTTAGAAGAACCATGCAACTGGAACAAGGCAGTTTTGCTCTCAATTACCAAGAAAGACGATGGAACGCGCTGTGATAGCTATAGAAGAATCAGCCTACTAGATATTTTTGTGAAAATTTTATTACTCTTCTCTTCTAAAATTTTATTTATTTCAATAGACTCGTGGCAGTGTGTGAGATGTCTTGACAAAGATATATTTAAGCCAGAATTTATGCTGACCAAACGTCAAGAAAGGCTCTGGATTATCATTTCATCGACAATCTACTGTTATGTGTTCTTCCACTTAACTGAAAGTAAAATTCGGTAACTGCAGCTAGAGGTACCTTCTTTCATTTGCCCTTCATTTGATCTCTTTGGAACTGTTGCGAAATTAAAATCTCAAAGCCTCAAAATTTCGTATCAATCTAGCTGCAGTATGAATAATCGCTTGATTACCATTATCATTTGCATTGTGACACCCAAGGTCGATTGGTTCATCGTTCATAGGACTTAATTCTCTATTCGTTAAATCCTATGATGTCAAAAGTGTGAAGGACTTGAAAATTTGAAAAAGCTTAGGGGCATTTATACAGTTAAGAAAACGACATAAACGACCAAGCGACATACGACTTAGATGGAAAAGGAAACTTCAATTACTTTAAGGAATGGCAATGAACCTGGCACGCTTAGTAATATCCGTATCGCTTGGTGACCGAGCCAAATTAACAATGGTGGCGAGCTATCAGAAAGTATAAGAAAAAAAGATAAAATATAACTGAAAAAGATGTTTTAGTGTCTTAAAAATAAGAAAAAAGAAAGAAAAAAGAAGATCCAGATATTTATATAATATAAACTTTAACTTATTAAAAATTCTTATCGCGTTAAAATTCTTAAAAAGATCAATTTGAATGTGAGTAACCTTTTTCAATAAGTTTGGATGAATTCATATCTTCTGGAAACTGATTTCCCTGAAATTCGAAAAATATCTAAATATCATTAATCACTTTCACTAAATATCACAATTTTTTTTCTACTTGTAATGCCTTGAAGCCAGGGAGCTTTTTCAGAGCCCTCACCATTACTGGTCGCTCCGCCGACTTGTCGTTCAAGATAAACATAAAAGTCTCTTGGCGAAAAATTACAAGTGAATCGCCAGCATCACCCCAATTTTAGTTTTCCTGCGGGAAGTATAATCTCAGCATCCACATCCCGAATTGATCAATAACCCACTGACCCATTCTATCCCGCTATCATTGCAGTCATAATTAGAAAGAGAGACTTTTTTAATAAAGCCATAATTTCTCCATAGCACTTATTTCTTCTAAAAACATTAATCTATTTCTAGTTTGACCAGTTCGATTGAGATCTATTGAGATGAAATCTTTTGAGCAGAGTCCTTTGGGATAGAGGCTCCGTACATCCCGGACTGCGTCCAGAAAAAATTAGTTCCAATGAGGGAATGCATAAAGCTTGAACCTATCGTTGAAGCAAACACACCTTTCCGCACTTTTTTCTCTCTTCCACACGCTACAAAGTATTAATAAATTTAATTCACAGTTCATTTTAAAAGAGTCCAAAAAGCCACTTTTGAATCCAAGAAAATCTTAGAGAAATCTTAGAATCTTAAATTATTTCTTTCTAAAATGTTTTTCCTTTCACTTTGTGTCTGTGGTTTAAAATTTCCGCGTAATTATTTTAAAATTATACGATGCGAAACCAAAACAAAACGCTAAATTTTCTTTCACGAAATAATATACGAATATAAGAAGTGAAAATGAAAGAACATATATGAACTTCAGCGAATAAGCTATCTTTGGCCAGAAAGAAGTCCTTCGCTGCTGCGCTGCTTCTCTGATGAACCACTCCAGCCATGTTCCTCAACTCGACTCACTAAAACAATCAATTCATTTCAATCCAACGTTAATTAAAATCTTTAAATATTTGATGCATTTATTTATAAATCACATGAAAATTTTGTCGCTTTGAATTCATAATCAAATTAAGTTAATTAATTAATTAATTAATTAAAGTATTCAATAAACATCGCCGCAGTCCGCACAAAAATGCAAATGGGATGGAATTATCACGAAAGGTACGATTCTCGCTGGTCAAAAGCATTTTTCCCGCATTTTTTAACTTGGCTTGGTACTAATTAATTTTTATGACTGACATGACAAAATTAATTCCATTAAAATCACCAAATTGTGTCCAAACCATTGGACCATTAATTTCCCTTTTGATTTGGCCTAATTTTAATAAGTAATAATCATTGCTCTTACTTTTTTTAAAAAATTTTCACTCATTGCTGCGAATTTGGCGCAATTTCAATAAACATTAATTATTTGAGTTTTATTGAAAACTATTAAACATAAAAACTTCGCGTGTGCGTTTAATGAGGAAATGAGAAAATATTTGGAAATTGAAGAATTTTTCAGTCATAAAAAAGCAAATATTGGTAAAATTAATCGTAGAAACACGGAAAAAATTTTAGAGAAATTTCACAAAATAAAATTAAAAACAATTAAGGAAGAAATTAAAAAATAAACCAACCGACCAAACGCGACGATTTTCACTAAAATGCAAATTAATCGATTTGAGAAAAAAATTAATCAAAAATTCTCAACTTCGAACTACAATTACGATTTTGAAATGGCCAAACAAAAATCGGCCTTTTTCTAAAATTCGGCCGAGAATTGCTCGTAAGCTATTCAGTTGAACGAGCGTTATTTTGCAACTGATGAATCGATTCATCTCACCATAATGCGGCAGCTGCAAGCTTCGACAAAAGGTGGACGGAAGCAGAGATTTGAGAGAGAAAGGGAAATTGTCAATGATAGGAGGCCAGCGCAGTTCAGCCAGCCATATTTGCAACATCAGCCTGGGCGCTGGCACTAACAGTTGCTCGACTTGCTCTGTTGGCGTGAAAGCCTTTAACATAGTGTTGCTTGGAGGGTAGGAAACCAGTGGCTCTCCCGCTCGGCCAACAGATTTTAATGAGTGATTCACTAACTCAGCTGCGACCACTCTTTCACCTTTTCTTCCTGACAATGCCTCTGTTCCCGGCCTAGCTATGTTTGTTCCAGTCAGTTGTTTGTGCAATAGAAACTTTAATTACCAATTCTTTCAGGTGTTTTGCACATTCGAATTTGAAATCGATCTTCATAATTGTGAAGAAATCGTCTCACAAGCCGAAAAGTGGTTATTAAATCATCGCCGGATTGGCCAGGAATTTCTGGTGAAAGCAGATGCAAGGGTCTGTGGGCTTCGACAAACAACATTGGTGTCAGCCTTGTGCGTGGTGCACTATAGCGAAAATATTCAGAGTCATGTTTCATTTTGATTTCATTGTCGTAGAACTGCTTTGCATTTTTATCTTTGCCTTATTTTGAGAAATATCACTGCCACTAATAGCACTGCTAACAAAGAAGTACGAATGCAATATTCTTCATCAAAGAATAATTTAATAATTGACAAAAAATTAAATAATCCTCTTCCCTCGAATAAATCTTTTCTATAATAATTATTATAAAATGAATGAAATATTATAAATATATTACCATTATAATACAAAAAACTCACATTAAGTAATTACTCCTCTTTTGCTATAAATTCCATATTTATTTTAGATTCTCTGAAGAAAGTGAAGAAAGGTGAAACTATAATTTTGGTTATATCAGTCGGACTTCGATGTAAATATTTTATATATCATATTTTATTAATAATGCATGCAGTTAAAGGAATAGTATTTTAATTCATATTGTAAACATTTTTTGAATCGCCCGTCTGTTCCATTGTATAATATTTCCATCTTCAAGTGACTCTCTGGCGAAAATTTCTAACCACAGTAAATAGTTGAGGCGACCTAGCCAAAAATGGTCTGCATTAATTATTTATTTTTTGTAAAATGGGAGTGTTCAGTAATTCGATGGAAATTTGCTAATAGAAATGGCCGAATTAATTAAATTTTCAGGAAATGGCAAAAAAGATATCCTTATTTCACATTTCTTCTTAAGTATTAAGCAAAATTATATCTGCTTGATTGGATTTTTCAGTGTATCATTCGAACTAATTTACATATTCTTCGTCAAACCAAATTTCACTTCCCTTTTTTTTCTTTAATTTATTGTCCCTTTCATTTCTTGTCGGTCATATTTCGCTTCAGTTCGTTTCTCGTTAATTTTTATTAAGAAACTCATTAACTACGGCCACATTCTTGAAAATTATCCTTAATATCAAAACGAATCACCAGTCTTTGGCAAAGTTTTTTGTCCCAGTTCTTGTTAATTTTTCGGATGGAAGAATTTTCATTAATAAAAAAGTCCTTCATATATATTTATATTTTTCAGGTAGAATAATTAACCTAATGCTTTTCACCGTAACATTGTTGTTATTTGTTGTTGTTGCACACATCGACTGCAAATGGCACTTTTATGTAAGCTTTTATTTATTTATTTATTTTAATAGTTTAGAAATTTTGAGTAGTCCTTAAAAAATCGTTCAATGATTCAGATAAATTAAATGAAGAGGAGAGTTATAAGAAACATTTGGCTGATTTGATATTTGATAATCTGCACTGATTTTTGAAAATTTTTAGGCGATGAAAAAAGGCAATAATGAAGAAAGTGCCATGAATCAAAAGATCGCTGCATTACGTGGCCAATTTATACCAATAAATTTGCGCCATTCGGATGAAACACTTCCAGGTTTTGATGATTATGCGAAATATCCATCTATTTTATTTAATTTGCATAGATTTCAAGCCAATGATAAATTTCCGATCTTCATTTAAGGTTTAATCTTTTTGATATTTACCATTTTAAAGTTTTTCTTCTTTTTCAAATAGAATTTTTTGATTTCGTTGGCTTACTACTTCGCCATACAGTCACTTGGCTATGTAAATATAGTTGGATGACCAGCACCAGCTAATTTAAGACTTTTCTTAATGAGGGATGGAAATATTGTCTAAAAAATAATTATTAAATTGAATGAGTGAATTTTTTATCTTAAAAACTTAATTCACTACAAAAATAATTTCATTGCCTTTAAAAATAAGGCATTCGTTTACTTTATAGGAGTTATAAAAGTTTAGGAGTTTATAGGAGTTTACTTTATAGGAGTTTTTTTATAGGAGTTTTTATAATTTTACTGAGTGCTTTATGTCAATGGTTGAATAATTTTTGGTTAAAAAAGAAACATTTTTTTTCAGAAAAGGTTTTCAACTGAGGCGAATGGGAGGAAAAAATTGATTCTATAATGTTGTTTAATCTTATATTCTCCTGGTCTTTAAAAGCTATTTTTAGAAATTTCCTTAATATGTGACATAAATAATCCTAAGTTATAATATATAGCTGACATGTAAATTAGTCTTCATGCTACATACTTTTGTGGTTTTACGCGAAAAAAATTAATGCATCTAAATAAAACTTACTATTTTTAATTATCGATAAAGTGAAATTTGATTACAATATTACCTAAATTTATTTATTGCTATTGAAAAGAAGACAAGTCATTACACATGATTATTCAGTTCATTTAATAAAATTTTTACTCAATTTAAAGATCTGATATTTTATAAAATTGAGCGATGATCTGTGATTTAACACAATAAATTATATTTTTTTTGTTTCTTCATGGTTTCCTGTTTCACCTTCTTAAAAAATTCTTTGGATATTGCATTTTCTATTTTCTATTTACGTCGATCTTCGATTAATTCGATTTCTCGTTTTGTTAATAAAAAATCTTTAATGATGTATGTTTGAAATATTTTTACGCCAAGCAAAGATTATTTATGGTCATAGATATTCACTCTTTCTTGATTCTTCATTTATGTTTCTCAGTTAAATAATCTCATAACTCTTTTAAATTAAAGTTTATTTTTCTGCTGAAAATAATTCAGCTTTAAGAAATTCAAATGATAAAGAAGAATTTAATTTTAATGCAGAATTTTTAAATTTAGTACTTGTGCTTGATTTCGAAGAAAAATAGAATTTGAATTCAAATTTAAAAATTGAGAAGTAGAAATAGCGTAAATAAGTAAGTCAGTAGTGGTACTTTCATCAATCGCTCTCATTTCATAATATTTCAAAGTAATGTTTATTTATTATACTGAATCAGTTTTTTTTTATTAAAATCTTATGATTTAGCCAATTATTCAACGTGATAAATGAAGTTAACGAAAATTAATATTCTTGGCAATATATAATGTTATAAAAAGGATTCAGGACTTTTTCATGATAATAAAAATGAAAAAATTCAGAGAGAGAGAATCCTCATTATAAGATAAAAGATAAAAAAATGAGATCGCTGAAAAAAATTAACTAAATATAAGAGAATGAAAAATAAAAAAGAAAAGCTCGTAAACGAATAAAAACGAGTAAAATTTAAAAAAATCTGCGCAAAATTCTTTAGAATCGTTTTTCGCCCTTGTTTCCAATATTTATGGAATTATTTTTCTTGTTAACGTAATGCAATAATTTGTTTATGCGATCGAACATTAATTCCACCTGAAAAAAGGCTTATTGCAAAATATGAAAATGGAACAACGCATTTCACTTTCGTAATAAATTAAAAATTTATTTTGCTCAAAATTCTCAATTAGAACGAAGCTCGCAGATCCCAGTTGTTCCAGTCCTCGTCTATCGATAGTTCATAGTTTCAAGAACTGTAAATTAAAAGGAGCTAAGACAGCTAAAAAATTTTCATATGCTCTAGTTGCTGAGGAAGTGAAATCTAGCATTAGCATGAATTTGAGGGAAAAAATTTAAGTCTTAGAAAGATAACCTTAGCTTCTAATCGATCAATTGCGGAGGATGAGTGGTAAATGTGATGAAAACCAAGATTAGGTAAATGATGTCGCTTGAATCCATTAAATGCAGTTAATGCCTAGAATTAATACTTCAATTAGTTAATTAATAAGCTTTTCAGACAATTTTAAATGCAGTAAATTCGCAAAATTTATGATTCTCACTCCAAATCTTCCTTCAACTGATTGCTTTCTCTAATATCTTTTATTAAAAACCGCTAAATTGCGCTTAAGGGTCAACCTTGGCCTTAATGTGTTCCATAGCTTCATAATCGTTCGACTGATGTTTCGGATCATGTCGTGCCCCTTCGAATTCAAACAGCACCATCATCACAAATACATTTAATAAAAAGAGAGTACCAATGGTCATGAAGATGAAATAAACTATACCACCTATAAATTTATCAAATCTAGTTTTAAATCTAAGGAATCAAGCATATAGTATCTTGTGAATTTTGAATAAAAGCATACTGAATAATATTTTTACACCGAATAATGTAGATTTTTGCACAACAAATACTGTTCAAGTTAAAAAAAATCACCACATGTGGATTCGCGTAAGACATCAGCGGCTGAAAGTTTTCCTAATAACGATGCAATAGTTGTCATTACGACATTCGACATGGTGCGATATGAAAACATATATGGTGACAATAATACACATAGGGACATATCAAAGGCCATATTAACAATGACAAGTAATGAACCAAAAATAACCATAGCTGTTTTTGAACGTGATAAGGTCAATGAAAATACAGCAATACGACGATTGAATCTGCAATTATAATTTTGAAATTAAAAATTATAAAAATTTTATGCATTATTATATCTAACATACAAATTGCTCAAAGCCATTTAACGAATTTCCTCCTCTAAATTTCGAATTATCTATTCTTCCTCTCCCACTCCATTCCGAAAAAACCATCGAAAAATTGCTTATCTGTTATTCATACAATCATAAATCATGAACTGCTGAGATAAATGAATTGCTGAGATGTCCATTTTATATCGCTTTTACAACTGTCTATCCTATTTTTTTTGATTGGGTCGAATGGTGATGGCAACCTATTTATATTTTTAGTCCTAAATAATCCCCTGGCAGAAAATTCTCACCAATGACTAGAGCAAACTTGGCCAGAAATGATGCTAACCATTTTATTCGACTGGAAAATTTGATGCTGAATCAAAACTATTGAAATGGAAGAAATGAAATATAATGAAACAATGGAATTTTTGACAAAAAATAAACCTGAAGACGTTCATAATTTTCATACAAACTAAAGCGACAACAAATGCAACACTTTTTATATAATTGTGCTCATAGAGACGTTGCTGGTCGATGCTTATATATGTATTTCCATTTGTTTCATCAAGTTTTTTTATTATCTAGAAAGTTTTAAATTATTTGAATCTTTTATTGTATACGAAACACTCTATCTGAGACAAGTTTATTTAAGAATAATAATGCCCAATTGTATTGAAAAGACCCATGTAATAACGCGCAATTAATATTTCTTACAAATATTATGTTTTAATACCCTTAAATTTATTTTAAAAAAAGCAGTTTAAAAAGGCAGTTTTGGTGTCATCTATAATAATTATGATATCGCATAAAATTAAACCTCCATAATTGAAAAATCTCGTCGTAAATAATTGAAACCTGAAATTACAGCCATAACGCAAATAATTAAATCGATGAATTTCCAAAAAGATGATAAATAACTTCTGAAAATTAAAATATTGGAATAAATTAAAATTTAATGATTAAATAATTCTTATTATTAGTAATAATTAATAATAAGAACAAATAATAATTAATGTGATTTGGGACCTGTATTTGACCCTTTCAGAGATTGATAGAGTGGCGCTTTGGAGGGAGATAGAACGTGATGGTGTTCCAGAAAAAATCATTAAACTCATAAAGGCATTTTATGAGCGCACGTCGGCGCAGGTCTGTGTATATGGGAAGCGGACATATTTCTTCGAAATAAGAACAGGTGCCCGTCAGGGTTGCGTCCTTTCCCCCACAATATTCAACTATGCGATAGACTGGATAATGGACACCGCTTGTCGGCACTCAAGAGGTGTCCGCCATTTGGTTCGCTATGTTATTAAGAAGATGTCTCTTCATCAAAGAATTTCCTGGGATAAAAATTTAGATGCATCCATCCCACTAAACTTTCAATGAAAAATAATCGAACCTAAAATAGCTTGACGTTAGTCTAAGTAACCCACTGCTTTCTTACTGTCCCCTATAGTTCAAAATCACAAAAAGATTATTCATAATCTAAATGAAATTTTAATTTCAATCAAAATGAAATATTTTCATACACAAGCTTTTCTCGAACACCGAAGAAAACTTCCTTTATGACCGTTACAACAACAAAAATTAAATATATGACTTCGAAAAACATAATATAGATTCCGTGTTTATCGTCGCAATTTATTAATCTTACCACATCAATCGTAACCGAGGGAAACACACGACCTTAATTTAACCTTTCTTAGTATTCCCTTAAAAAAAAGTTTAGCTGCTTATATACATGAACACTCTATCACTAATACTTTCTAATAAATCAATGAAAGGAAATGGTTAGCCCCCACAATGGTTTCTAGTTCGGCTCGATGCACTAGTTAATAATAGTGAAATTAGAAACTTTTGCTAGGGAACCATTTGGGAATAGAACTGCAAGTGGATCTTCAGTATTACTTGGATTTTTAATGAGACAATTCGCTGAGTTGAATGCAACGTCCAAAAAAATGATCGAAAAGAATGCATATCTCTTGTTAAATGCAAATGGAAAAAGTATACCAACCGAACGGAGGTGATTCAATCACAAGTCGAATTACACCAAAAAGATTCGCTTGCGCATTATACGTGACAATGTCCAGGAATATCGCTCTAGTATTGTCATCAAACCAATGTTCTCTTTCGAGTTGATTGAAAATTTCCAAAAGACCTGATGAAGATCCATTTAAAGGTAAAACATATCCGCCACCGCTATAAATGTCATGATAACCGTAATATTCTTCTGCTGAAAAGGGAACAATTAATTGGCAAAAAGTGAAGTTTGGAGTTAAATTTTAATTACTTTACAGACTAAATACCTTCATTCAGTCTGGTCTAGCTTTTAAAAAAACTTGTAAGTTCTGCACGTACTTGCAAGCTCATCGCTATTATGGTAGATGTATCCAATCGATGCATTATTAATAGATGTTGCTTCAAACCAACCATTTCTATATGCAGGTGTCGTATCTTCATAGCTGAATTTATATTTAATTCCTAATTTTCCTTTCGTTTCATATTTTTAATTTTCGGTTCATATTTTAGTAATTCATCTATTTTTTCCAATGGTTGTTTTAATAGTAAGCAGTGGAGCAAGCAGAGTTGTTGTATTATTATAATTATTTTTATTATTATTATAACAACAAGTACTGGTCCCTTACATCTGACTGGAACAAATTATTATCTAATAGTTAGAATAATCGAAATAGGCAAGTGGTAAACTTATCCTTATAAATTCGAATTAAATACTCATTACTGCATTTCTATCCTTAGATGACTCTTTGTCAACAATTATCTCGTTTTACACCTGTGGAATAAGTATGATATATACTAAAAACTTACTTTTTATCTTCATTATTTATTTAGCATTTACTTCTTTTAATATTTCCAGCTTGATATAATTTGAATGCTAATATAATATATTTATATATATTAAATATTTGTAATATATTTGTGTAAATATATAGATCCGCTGCAGAAAATCCGGAAAATCCTCACAAAAATTTCCACCCGAAGTCTACGATGCCGAAAGGCTCCAACCAACAGGAAAGAAGGGGGAAGGGATTTGTGAGCATTGAAACGATTGTGCTGGACGAAATCCGAAACATTCAGGAAAAAATCAGCAAGATGACAACGAAAGATGAGCTGCTGAGTGAATGCTTGAAGTATCTATAGACATTAGAGAAAGATCAAGAAGAGCAAGTGACATAGCAAAACAAGATTCTCTATATGGGACATACCACCGATAGATAACTGAGATAAATGAGGTTAAGAAATCCTACCAGTGGTTGGAAAAGGTTTGAAAAGCTTGACTAAAAGGCAGCATTGAGGTATTGTTCATAATTATACAAGAAGAGTTACTAAAAATAGATCCATCGAAGTTGGACCACATCAGACAGGATTCAAGGTGCAGATCGTGCAAAAAAGCCTGGGAAAACTGCCCAACAAATAGTGAAAGGATATAAGATGCAGGCAGAAATAGAATATGTATAGCATATACTGAAAGGTACAACCAAGTAGCTAAAACTGTCTACAGGAATATCTGCTCGGCTTAGGCCTACCGAAAACTAGTAGACTCCTCAAAAAGCTGTGGAGAATAATAAGACTAAGATTTTGTGAAACTCCTTTATCCAGGCAGATAAAAAAGTGTTGGTCAACTAATTATGATGGTATCACACTCATGAAACAGTACCATGTAATAAGAACATTAAGAACTAGGAAGGAATAAAAAAGGAACTAGAGAAGATTTGGAAAGCCAAGTGTGGTGTAAGCCAAAGTAGTCCCAGTAATGAAAGCATTGGCTTTGACCACCGCCGAACTAGAAAAGTGGCTCCAAAAGATTCCAGGAACTAGAGATCTCTGTCCACAAGACCACATTTCTAAGAATAACTAAGACAGCCTCAAGCTTGCAGGGCTCTCGTGGACGGCCTGAGTAGATGATCCATGTCACCTACAGAGAATGAGAAAGAAATTTTATATAAATTTTATATATATTTATATATATATGGGTGATTCAACTATATTCATCCACTGATAAATACGCAAAAATTTATTTTGACTAATATATATCCTAAATATTATATTAGCCAAACATTACAGAATGCTGTAGGACAGCCAAGTAATAATGACTTATATTAATATTACTGTTTTGAGAGACAAGGAACCGCCAGAAGCCAAAAAATCGGGTCGATGCTGGCGATTTATTTAGATTTCTATTACTTTCTAGTGAAAAATTTCTATGTACTGTAACTTATTAACAACTAGCGGAACCAGCAAATACTGTAAGTAATTCTTTTCTACGTTACTGTGGTTGAAATTTTTCAAACAAATTTTTTATGATAATAATGTGATAACATCCAAACACCTCCGAAATACAACGAAGATCGTCCATTTATTTCAACTCATTTATTTTCTCAGATAATTTTTTGAATGAACTTTAAGTTTAATTCTTGAAGAAAAAATGTCCACAATATTCTAGTGGAAAATATATATAAGGATAAATGAGGACTAACATCAATGATGTAAATCCTTTACAGTCCATAAAATACGACAAAAATTTTTCGATGACTCCACAATTCCTATTGGTTTGTGAGCGTATTTGCCTCATAATCCCGTACCCCATCGAACGAGACACCTAAACCAACACTGAAACACTGACACATTTGATCTTCCATTTTATATGCTTTTCAGTATTCGTGGTGTAATTCAGTTTTAAACGCAAATATTTTGGAAACATTTTAGTGTACGGATTATCAATTAACCAATTTAGTTTTTTGACCAACTTTCAAAATGGCATTAGCTGGTCTTAATTTTTTAATTTAATAATAGAAACTTAATTTTTTATAAAAAATACTTCTGCTATTAAGGTTAATTCGATAGAGGCAGAAGATGATAGTGATTATTTAGATTAGCTTTCGAATGATGCTAGAGACTCAACTATACGCCTATCACCAAGCGATTCTTTCGTAAAAACTTCTAATACTACTAACAGCTAATGGAACGTACCTTAAACCAAAAATGGTAAATGCTAACCAATTTTTTTACTTGTCTTTTTAATTTAAAATTGGTAAGTTAAAATACTTTATCATTAAGAAATCCCATCATTCGTCGACTAGGCTTTCCATCATACCATTTCACTCGAATAGCTGAAAAAACCTTTTAAAAATAATGTTTATAGTTATAGTTAATAAATTGACTAATTTAAATGGATTGCTGATAGCATGGTTGCTCAGCAAATCGTTTCGAGTGTCGAAATTCACCCTCCCTGAAGCAGCTTGCCATTAAAAAATCTGAGTGGTGCTGGAGACTCGCTTCTTTTTTTGTCTCTTAAGAGTGCTCATCATTTCTGGCTCACTCCGCTGGCTTGCTGGATAAATTTTAAGTCACTGGGCGATAGAAGTACAGATGAGTCGTCAACATCACGCGGATTTTCGATTTATTCTTGCTAAGAACCGCAGCCAAAGACATTATGAGATTATTGTTATTTCATGCAATTATAATGATAAATTGGCTTAGTTTAACAGAAAAAAGTCTTCGATTATATTATTTTTAAATATGCAATGAAACTATTTACCACGGACAAAATCTGTTTTTAGATATTCCCAGAAATGTCGGCTTTGTGTCACATTTAAAAATGAATTGTTGCCACAGTTCACATTAGGCTGCGCATTAAAAAGGCAACGAAGCTATAAAAATATAAATATAAAAATATACGCTAAAATTTGGGAACAAAAAAGGGAAACTATTCAACTAATTAATAAAAGCAAAAAAAGTAATTTTAGCAATTTAAAAAAAACAAAAAATCTTTAAAATGCAAGCAATGGAAAATTCTACTAAAAAATTCATAGCCAAAATTGATACCTGAATCTGATAGTGATAAGCCAAATTGTCTCTACTAAAGAAAGCCAAACCAAGACATATCGTTACGGATATAAGAAGGAAGATTATTTCTCGTATGGTAATAAATCTAAAGCAGTTTTTGAAATTTGTTTTTGATTAATTTATATCCGTAACAATTAATTTATAAACAAGATTTTACCGTCCTCCAATTTGAAAACACTTAAGCTATTTTAAAATACTTTGCTAAATTAATCGAGTCCAGATAGATCCGAGAGTATAATTAAAATAAATTTCTATAATCTTCCTCCTATAGTTCTCACCATTAATTATTACGCTGGCTCCATAGCTACAAGAGTAAGACGTCTTCGATCTAACGGTCATCGTTGACAGCAACGATTGAGGCCATCGTCTATATATCGTCTATACGAAATATATGTTAAATCTTGTGGAGAGAAACGAAGAATGCGCCCTAATCCGCGAAGACGATGTTTTTTGATGGCAGTGTTAATGCAAGTGGTATTTTGAAAGAAGGTGGATGCGATCATGTGAGATTTTATCTGCTCGGTGGACCCATAAAATGGATTTTAGATATTAGTGGTCGAAGAACGATAACTAAATATCCTCCACACTCATCAGCTATACGTCATATAGCAAGATCGAGTGAGTTGCAGGCGCGGTCATTCGTTTTTATATAGACTTGCGACGACTCCAAGGTTTCATCAACCGGAAGAAAGCATCTCTACTTAGTTATCTTTAGCCGTGTTGTAATTTCGTCTTTCACACTATTTAGGACTGTTTAGAGTGGATCCAAGATATTTATACTCTGGCACTTCTTCAGTCGAGAATGAACTGATAAAAAAATGTATTTTATCAGCGTCTGGTATATAAGGCGAAAAGCCTTTCGTTTTATTTATGATGATCTTGAATCCGATTCTCGCTGCAGTTATTCACTTATTGTTTAGCATTATCTGCATTTCGTCATATTTGTCAACGAAAAAAACTACATTATTAGCGTATTCAAGGCCTGTGATATCCATTATCCACTGGATATCGTGCAGTTGAATTCTGTAGAGAAAAGAATGCAGCCTTAACGGACACCAGTTCTTATTTCGAAAAATTCAATTTCCCATAAACATAGACAAAATGAAGGAGATAAAATGCTTTTATGTCGGATGATTTTCTCTGGAACTGCGTCACTTTCATTACCCTCTAAAGAACTATTTTATCAACTGAATCGAAGGATGCAAGATCGATGAAAAAAGTGGCGATGTCGTGCAATGTTCCGATACTCTTCTTAACATGCAAATTTGGCCATCACAGTTGCATTCTGGTCTGAATTCAGCTTGATTAGGACAACCTGCTATCTCGCCATAAGTCTATTCAATAGGAGAGAAATAAAAAATTTTCTCGGAGATAGTAGATAGTATTCCTCGATTGCCGCAATATGCTCTGCCACCTTTCCTAAGAATTGCTCCAGTCATCTGGTATTATTTCTTTCTTCCGTACCTGAGAGTACATTTATTGAAGGTGTGTTATGAAGTACGACGAACAAAATTTTGAAGAATTGGTCACGAAGACCATCTCCAGGAGACTTACTGGCCTTAAGTTTCTGGATAACAAAGAGATTATTTCCTGTTCTGTTGGAAACATATGGCTCAACGAGCGATTCAGCAATGTTCGGGACAACAAGTGTCGAAGTTTGACTTCAAAGAATTCCTTCCACCTCATAAAGCGATTCCTAATAGCTTTAACAGGGTATACTACTGCTATTCCGCATCATTTCACTGATCGTTCCCCAAGTTATAGTTGTTTTATGCAGAAGGCGAAATAGCGTAATTCCTATTAGCCTAATCGAGTTGTCTGTATTTTCAAGGCTATATCGCTCCAATAGCGATTTCTGTCGTGTTGCAGCCGTTGTAATTCTTTGAAGCATCCGGTAATCAGGTTCTCCTGATATTAGTGTTTTGGTTGTCGAGAATTTTCTCGAAACTATGAATCATTGCTTATAAAAATCAAAAGGTCACTTTTTTTCCTTTTTGAACGTTGTGTAGGAGTGGGTTTTTTTCTTCTTTTCTTTGCAGTATAAACAGTTTTTTTTAAATTCACGTTTTAGCTAAACTATTGTCGCCATTTTCAATAAAAATAAAAAATTATTATATTGTTGTGGTGTGACAGACTTACAAACCCCGTTCAGTCTAAACGAAAAAGTCACAACATTGGTAACCGCTTTGAACTGTTAAACAGTTGCTTCCGATACACAACTGGCGCATTTCCTAGTAACATATCTTAGTATAGAAGTGGCTGAAATTCGAAGGCATACTTTTGATTCGGACCAATAATTTATCTGCCGTTCCAGAGATGTCGTTGATATTCAAATCACTCAGGTACTCTAACAACACTCGGTTTGAAATACTTTTACTTTCTGCGAATCTTCTATTTTGAGACTTTTAGAAGATCTTAGGAGACATTCATTTCTTACGAATAGTCTTATGCGACTCTTGCAGCTCAATCATAATCCATTACGACCACCAGTTTCAGCGCGTGATAGGAACAACTATTTAATACGGGGCTCTTCCAGTGGCGACTGACTAAGATATAATCAATTTGGTTGAAGTGCTGCTTATCCGTTAAATTTCGCGTGATGTTTTTTTCGATGTCGTAAGAATAATTTAAGAATAATATATTAATAACAAAAGTTCAAGCTTCAAAGTTCGGCAAAGCGAAGAAAGCCTTGTCCATTGGCGTACTGGGCCCTGATGCCATATTTGCTAATTACGGACTTTATCGGTGCAGCATTGTGATCAACGCGTGCATTCCAGTCTCTCAGAGTCACTTTTCGGTAGAGATATTGTTAGTAATTGAAGTTCTAAAATTTTTTTGTCGCGGTCATTTGTGTATAAAATTAGAGCATGCGTATACATTGATAACCGAAATAATGCAGAACTGACCTTTGAAGCTAGCCTATACATTCGTTTACCATCAATCAGAGCGGATCGAGCTTTTTCAAATTTCACAATCATTACGCCATTTCGCTCCGAGTTATCCGAAACGCCACAATAATATAGCCACTATCCCCGCTCGAAGTCAGGTTTAGCAATTGCTCGAAAGTAACGAATCTCCGACATTTACATGGTATTTAGAAAAAGTGTGGGCAGCGATCGCTTGGATTGTAATGTCCATAAGCATTCTGACCTTCTATGTTGCTATGGCTAACAAAACGCCGCGCATGAAGGAAGCCGTTTCTTTAGCTCGAGCAAATATTATTCTCAACCCTTGGGATCGTTTTACTACGCCCGGATTGTATATATTTATCGCATGTGCCACTGGACTGGACGTATCATGAGCGTCGAAGAACGCCCTGTCAAAAATATTTGATCCTTTCACCATAGAGTTACTTGAAGATATAGGTGGGTTTACTTCTATCGAAGACACAGAAAAAAAATGAAGAAAATAGGTTAAATGCTGTTAAATTAATCATTCCCCACACTTCATTGGCTTTCGAATTTCAATATATCAAAATTTATCATGTCATTTTTATAAATAACGGTGGTGATTAAAATGGCGAGTTTACAGTTTTATCATAAATAATAATTGTATAAATAATTGAAAAATTATTTATTTACAGATAACTTACAGGATTGTAAAATATATCATACCTAACTATTCTATTCAGGTCCTATTATCCTAAATGACTCTATGATGAGAAGTTTTCCGTCTAGTAGTCTGTGCAACCGATCAAGAAATATGGTGACTATCGAAAGGCGAAAGGAATAAAATTCTCTTTATTAAAAAGCGCCAATGTGGCCAAAACTGCAAAATGCTTGAAACGAATGCATGTTCATACAAATCGCTTATACAAGAGATTTTTTAAAACTATCTAAACCAATCTTTGTTTCGGTTATAAAATACATTTAATAAGCTCAAATTGTTGTGAGTCGAAGTCGACTAATGAGACTGAAATGCTAATGATTCCAGTGAAACCTGTCTCTATACACTTTCACCTTGACAGATTGAACTTACGCGGTTTTCTCGAATGTTGCAGAAGCGCGATAAAAAATTACTTATTAAATCTAAACGAATTTTAAAATATATTGAAGGACTTACAGTTGCTCATCTCTCATTCGTCGATCTCTTAATTCGATTAGTTTATGAAGTGTGACAAGTTTTTTTCCCGTCAATTCAACATTTTTAATGTTTTCTAGTATTTCTGAATTAAAATAATTTATAGAATAGCAAAATCATAACATTTTTGAAGGGTAAAGTGGGAACAGGGATTTTTTAGCCATCTAAATTTTTTTGTATATTTTATTATTTTAGTCTAAAAAAAATAAGAAAAAATGAAAATGCTGGAAATGAAAGAGTTTAAAATGGAATAAAATCTGTGAAGCACTCTATGCAATAATGTATGAAATTATTGCCTCTATTTTCAGAAAATCCACGCTTTGCTAATTTCAGTTCCTCGAGTTCATAATTTCGAATAAGACGATAATTTTTGATAAAAACTGTACAAATCAAGGAACAAATAAATGCCTTAAAATTTAAATCACAATTTGAAAATCGCAAAAATTATAAATTATAAATTAATGTAATTTATTTTTTATCGTCTTTTCTTCATCAAAAATATTGAGGAATTTCTATAAATAAAAAGTTTTAAATAAGAAAACCTTAAGCGGTTCAATTATAATCATCCACAAAATTATCATAATAGAAAATCTTCGAGCAAAAGCCGATGTCTCTTCAACAAAGCAATTAAATGCCATATGCACTGTCGTGATTATGAGAATTATAGCAATTAATAGTTCAGCCATTTTAATTAGAGTTGCTAAACGATGTTTGAATTTCAAACGACCACGTCGATCACGTAACTCATTTCGGTTGAATTTCTGATTGCATTCTTTTGCTTTATGGATTACAGGTATATATCTAAATTTTATAAATTTTGATGGTTTAAAATGACTGTTCTAATGCCTTTTACTTGATGGCGATAATCATTCCTAATCTTGCCGATTTGAATAGCTAATAATATATGATCTACTGTTGATTGCCGATTTGACCTACTACACTGGCGACTAAGATAATGCGTTTCTGTAAGATGCTTGAGCGTTTCAGTAGTCTCTTTGGGAGAAAGGGAGATGGCAGATTTCTAGCACAGAATTTCACCGTAAATGACAGGTTGACAGAGTCGAACATGATGGCATCTTTGTGAGTCCTTTAATAGTTATTTATAAAATGTGATTAAAAAAATTTTTGCTTTAGTGATTTTAAAAACACATGTTGATTATGGTTTTTCTTATATTTATTCATGATTTTTCTCGCATTCATTATTAAGTAAACTTCATTCTATTTAAATTCATTCGATTTTAATATTTTGGCAATTCATTTATTCATAAAAAATAATATGCGTGAAATTAGCTATATAAGCATAACCTGTGAATAATGGGCACAATAATTGTAGTTGGTACACAAGTTAGTCCAAGGCAAAAAGCAATCGGAACCTGAAGTTCTAAAGGTAAATTATAATATAGTAAAAAACATATATATATATATATATATATAACATAAAAGCCTCTTTTTCATCCCCATTGAGTGGTAAGCATTATCCTCAGAAACTGATCCAACACATAATGGTAGGATACAAGATGCAGGCAGAATATATTGAATACACTGCATCATGCAAACATTGAAAGATAAATAGCTGATGAAGAATATATTAGTGGTGGTCTATAGGAAAATTTGCTCACTATATGGCTTATCAGATAAAATTCCTTAGAAAATTGCGAATAATAAAACTCAAAGGGGATTCCAATTTAATACAGGCAGATAAACGAGTATTGGTTCATTAACCAGATATTGTGGTAAGAGATAAATGTCAGAAATCATTAGTGGTAGATATAGCAATACCAAGTGACATGAATATTAAGAATGACCATGAAAAGTGGAAATTTCACGGCCGAAAATAGAACTTGATATGAAAAGTTGAGGTTAAAGTACTCCCAGTAGTGATAGCAACACTAGAGGTTTCGATTCAAACTGGAAAAGTGGCTCCAACAAATTAGAGTGATAAAATCATAGATTCTCTGCCAAGATCACGCTGCTAGAAACAGCTAAGATATAGCTAAGATACTCCCATGCCTCTGATGGAGGATCCGAGTGACGCAACTACCTATAGCGGGCCAAAAAGAAGTTTAACTTTGTAGTCATTTCTAAAATCTCTAATTCGTAAATTAAAAAGAATTATCATTTGTCACTAATCTATATAGAAATCGATTTAAATACTATTAAGTACTTTTATCATAAATTTAAAAAATGGCCAATGAGAGTAGAGGATATTAAGAAGCTATCTATCTTTGACCATTCTTGCCTAAGATATACATTTTACCGATCTGTCGAGCAGATAAAATATCACATGATCGCATCCACCTTCGTTCAAATACCACTTGCATTAACAATGCCATCATCTTCGGTGGTTAGGGCACGTTCTCCGTCGTCCACCACAAGAATTGTAGCATATTTCGTTATTTGTGTGATGGATGGCGTCAAAAGCGAAGTGGGCAATCAAGACCTGGACTGATACGGTCAAGAAAGATTTTGAACGTATAGGTGGACCAGCAATATATGGACAATGGAAAAAGGAATGGCTTCTATTACTGTCGACGATGGTATCAGACCGCTTGGAAGTATCTTATCCTTGTAGCTGTTGGAGCCAGCCTAACCAGTAATGGTGAGAGCTGCTAGAAGAAGAAGAAAAAATATCATAAATTAAAAAAATTTTGTGAAGAATATGTGTATTATATATGATTTTTTTGCGCAAATCTGAGAGCGAAATGGCTGTCATATATGAAAAAGCTTGGTGCAGACCGGAAGCCGATAAATGACGTATCCTCACTTCAAAGGATAATTTTGCGATATTTCGATTATCAGTGCATATGCTCCAGTTTTATGCGCAGGTGACTGCGACAAGGATAAGCTCTATGTGGAACTTCAACTGCTAACTGCTTTCTACCAAAAAATGACACAGTCAGGAGAAAATGAAATGGGCGAGTAGATCTTGATGCTGCTGCAGTGAGGTCAGCAACTGGCAAATATGGCATCGAGGTCCGATGCACCAATAGCAAACACCTTTTTCGCTTTACAGAATGAACTTTTTTTATGTACTTCCGACATCGAAGACGATCTAGTCACATGGAACTTCTCGAATAACCAACACTTCAACCAGATTGATTATTTTAATCAGTCACCAATATCACGGCATTACTGGAACTAAAACTGGTGACCGTTACGAATCAGATCATGTTATAGTTCGAGCCAAGATTCGCACAAAACGGACAATTCGAAACTCGGAATCCGAAGATTTTTCAGCAATCTCAAATTAGAAGATTCAAACCGAATAATTGAATCATTTCGGTGATATAAATATCAACGGAATCACTGGAATTAAAGAGGAATATTGACCTCAAATAGAGGCGTATCTCTGAAATCAGCCATTTCACAAAGGGATATGCTAGTAAGAAATGCATTAGTTGGATCAGAAGCAACTGTCTGTTTGAAAAGGCTGATAAACCACGAATGTCAAAAGATCCTAACTATAGGGCATTTCGAAGAATTACAACAGGAGCACGGCGAGACAGAAATCTATATTGGAGCGATATGGCCTTGAGAACCTAGAGACGGTGGCTCGGTTAGTTGATAATAAAAAATTATTCTGCTTTCCTCACTCGTTACAACTCGGGAAACAGTCAATAAAATGATACGGAGTATGCCTGTTAAGGCTATTAAGGATCGCCTCATAAGGTGGAAAGAATTCTTTGCCAAAATTAACCACTGTACGCTATTTCTTGAATCACTTCTTGAATCAACCTATATGTTTCCAATTCCCAGCCTCCAATAGAACAAGAAATAATCTGTCATCCAAAAGCTTAAGATGGTCTTCGAGTCGAACTTAGATCCGTCGTCCTTCATAAACTTTCAATTAATATATTCTCTTGGTACGGAAGAAAGAAATAATATCAGATGGTTATAGCAAAGCAATTCTGGAGTGGTTGCGCTGATCAGATATCTACATTAAAAAAGGGTGTTAGAACATCGCTTCGCAATAAATATTTATAACCCACCATCGTGTTTCATCAACTTTGTGGTGCCTTTGATTGAATTGATAGGACAGCGCTTTGGAGGATGATGGCACGCGACGGTGTTCCAGAGAAGATCATTCGACTCATAAAGGCATTTTGTTAACATACCCTGGCACATGTCTGTGTATATGGGGATAGACTCCTTCGAAATGGTGTCAGGGCTGCATCCTTTCCTCTACAATATTCAACTATGCGATAGACTGGATAATGGGCATCTTTTATCGGCATTCAAGAAATGTGCACAAATCATTCAAGATCATCATATCACAGACCTTGAATATGCTGATGATGTAGTCCTTATTATAATGAAATGAAAATTAATAATATTAAAAATTTGTCAACAACTACAGCGAGAACTGGACTCAAAATCAATGTAAATAAAACGAAAGTGTTTTCGTCTTACATACAAGATGCTGATAAAATACCTATTTTTATCAGTTCAACGGTTGAGGAAGTACCAAACTATAAATATCTTGGATCTATTTTAATCCTAAACATTTAAGTGAAAGACGAAACACAGTTAACGCTAACTAGAAATGCTTTCTTCCGGTTGACGAAACCTTGAAGTCGTCGCAAAATCACTATAAAAACGAAAGACCGCGTCTTATAACTGCAACTCACTCGATTTTGCTATATGGCTATGAGATATAGCCGATGAGTGTGGAGGATGTTTAGTTCTTCTACTGCTCGTATCTAAGATCAATTTTATGGGTCCATCATGGATCTATTTTTACGAGCGGACAAAATATTACAAGATTGCATACACCTTCGTTCAAATACTCTTGCCTTAACAGTATCATCACAGAGCGTCGTTTTCGCTAATTAGGCACATATAATAGGAATTAATGCGAAACATTTCTTCGTCACCCATTATAGGAGTTGATATATATTTCTTTACTTGCTAAGCTCTGTGATAGATGGCCAAAAGCAAGAGAGACCAATCAAGACCTGGGCTAATATAGTAGAAAAGTTTTTGAGCGCCTTGATGGACCAGCGATATATGGACGATGGGAAAAGAATGGCTTCTATTACTGTTAACGATGACTTTCTGAAAGAACTTGGAGAATTTTATTCTTTTAGTTAGCGGAGCTAACCTAACCAGTAATTATGAAAGCTGTTAGAAGAAGAATTTACATAAAAAAATAAAACTTACATCCGTCCATGCAAAATAATAACCACAGAAATAAAGGCTTTCGTTAATATCAATATAGTTGAACTTCTTTGCGATAATCATATTTATTATCATTGAAACTGCTAACGAAAGATAAACATTTAAAGTTCGTTCAACTCGTGAAAAACGTAATCGACTCAACGCACCTCCCCCTAAATTTTTTGATGAAACTTTAAGTAAGGCTTCCGAGAAAATTTTCTCATTAATTTTATCGTGAAAATGAACAAATAAACAAAACTTTTTTGAAAAATACTAGAATGAAGAAAGCCAAAAAGAACCTCAATATCAATTTAATTGAGATCCTGGTAATAGGGAAATCCAACCTATATTTCTATCCCTAAGCTTGACACTCATGCTATAACCAATTGAGTGACGATGACGACTAGATATACATATTGAATATTAACCACTTAATTTAAAGGAAGCATTTTAAAAAAATGCTTTAAAAAATAACCAGTGAACATATTCCAGTACGATAGATGATCAGCGATAGAATGCATCGAAAGTGCTTCGGAAAAATACCGATAATCTTTCGCGATATTTACCGGAATAACCCGCTCAGTCTAAAAATTAAAATAATTTTAAAATAATCTACAATTATTTAATCTACAATTATTAATTTATTTATTTATTGATAACCAGCCAAGCAGGGCGACAACGCCATGTGCTTATATTAATAATAATAATTAAGATAACAGAAAAAGAAAACACAAAAAAAAAATAATATAATAAAAAATAAAAATAATAAAAAAAATTAATTATAAAACAATATGACAAAAATTAACAATTTAAAGAGGAAATTACAAATCAATATAATATAGTACAATTCGAAGTAACATATATAACCTGAAGATAAAATCGAGATTTCTCACTTCCTGCAGTTCTGGTGTAAACTCTTCTCTTTTTCTTTAAATAATATCGTAAATGATATTATCTAGTCTTTTTTTAAAAACAGCTAAGGATGAGCACAAGCTATATCGTTTGATAATTTGTTCCAGTAGTTAATAGTACGAATAAAGAAGTCATGAGTCCTTAGTTTAGTTTTGCATATAGGTTTTAGTAATTTTAAGCCATTAGTTCTTGTTGGATTCATTTTAGTCTAAAGTTATATTTCGAGCAATCTAGTTTAACATAACCATACAGAATCTTATATGTCTAAATTAAATCTTGTTTAATTCTACGAACTGAGAGAGAATCCATGTTATGTTGTAGAAGTGTTCTTTTATAATTAAAATTATTTTTATTAGGAGAGAGGCGTCGTAGAAAATATTTTTGGAGTCCTTCAATTATTTTACCTGTTTTGCGATGTCTCGAGGAATAACATGTAGTATTGTAGTCAAGAAGAGGCCGAACAAATGGTTTGTATAATTTAATAAGAAAACTTTCAGTTTTGCTCTTAAACGAACGAAAAATAAAATTTAGTATCCTTGAGGATTTCTTTACTATGGTTCTGAAGATCGAAATCGAGATTTTCATCCACAATTATTCCAAGATCGGAGATGTGTGAGACTCTATTGATTAAATTACCATTTATAAAAAGGTTAGGAAGATCGAATCCTTTAGAGTTGATGTGAAGAACGCTACATTTTTGAAAGGAAAGGGTAATTTGCCTGTCATATAACCAGTCACCTATTCTGTTGAGGTCCTCCTGCAGTGGAGATAGGCTATCCGCTCTACCATGAGAATAATAAATTTTACAATCATCAGCATAAAGATAAATAGTAGAATTTATTACCACTGTGGTGATATCATTTATATATAATAGAAATAGCAATGGCGCAATGCAACCACCTTGGGGTACGCCTGATTTAACAGGTGTCATGTCAGAAAGAGTGTTGTTAACATATACAGCCTGGTAACGATTTTTTATGTAATCTGAAACCCAGTTATAGAGGTCCCCTGTGCCATAACTATTAAGAGTGACCAATAATTTGTTATGGGAAAAAGTATCAAAAGTCTTAGCCAAATCTAGGTATACAACTGATACTATTTTTCCATTGTCAATTGATGCTGACCAATTAGAGAGATTTGCCAATATTTGTGAAGAAGTAGATTTTTTTGTACAAAAGCCATGCTGATAAGAAGATATAAAATTATTGGCATCAAGATAAGTAAACAATTTGTTGCAAATCAACCTTTCAAATACCTTGCTACCAACACATGTTAAGCTAATAGGTCTATAATTAGAAGCGTCATAGGTGCTTCCTTTTTTTGAATGGGAACTATATGGGACAATTTCCAAATTTTGGGATTAAGGCCAGACTTCATAATATCTTCATAAATTAAAAATAGGGGAAGACTCAGAGAGACTGCGCATTTTTTATAAATTATTTGTGAAATGTTATCGGGTCCAGCTGAAATGGACGGCTTAAGTCTATTTAAGGCATCATAAACATCCAGTAGTGTTATTTCAACCTCGCAGAGAGAAGTGCAACAAATTCGATTTGCGTTAAAACAGGAAGTATGAGTATTATCCTCAATAAACACACTAGAAAAATACTGATTAAATACATTTGCAATATCAATATCAGAGGTGATCACATTATCACTATGTTGCAGAATTAATTGTTTACGTGGATTTGCAAATTTTGTTTTGATATAGGTCCAGAAAGAATTTCTATCAATATAAAGTTGTTCTTCTTTATTTGAAAAGTAATTATGAATGGCGCTACGGAAACTTTTTAAGCTTTCTTTATATGCAGAGAGCTCATTTAGCAATTTGGTTAATTGATATTTATTATAAAGCTTCTTGACACTTTTCTTAAGGGATTTTAGAAAAGTGACCTAATGCTCGTTTTTCTTAAAGGGATATATTGGTCTATTAGATATAAAAAGATGCTATTAAGAAAATTAACTTTTTCATCGATAGAGAGAATTAAACAGAATAAGAAATCCCAGTTTATTTATGCGAGGATAAAGTTAAAGATTTCATAATTACAGTGACGGTAACTTCTAGAAAATCTCGAGGGAGGTGAATAACAGAGGTGAATAATTTTAATGAAGTATGAATGATATTGTGATCACTATTACAAAAAGGTTCCAAGACTCTAATACTATCAACAAGACAGGTGGGATAGCTAACACAAGATGAAATTAGTGTTGTACCTAGTGGCGACCTTAACATGTTGCTCTAGACCAACATAATTATAAAAGTTTAGAAAGTCCTCTTCAAATTTATTGCTACTTTTTAAACAACTATTTTCCCAATCTATGTTTGGCATATTAAGATCACCAACAATTACATAATCAGTGCCAATTAATTTTAATTTGAGTAACAAGTTGTAAAGGCCCCTAGTGAATTTGCTTCCATAGCCTGGTGAACGGTATAGATTTAAAAGGGAAATATTTCTGTTATTAAGATAAATTTTAATTACCAAAGATTCAAAAGAGGAGCAAACATAATCATCGAAGGTTATAAATTTATAATAATCAGGAATAAGCATGATAAGCCCACTTCCACGAATATTTGAACTATTTATTGTTCTATCCTTGCGTGATACTATAAAGCCGTCAAAATTTAGTTCGCGATTATCAATAGAGTCATCCAACCACGTTTCATTGATACAGAAAATACTGTTTGGGTTATCAATTAGTAAGAGTCTTAAGTCATAAAGTTTATATTTTAAACTTCTTGGTTAAAAGTATATAAAGATAAATTACCTCCTATTTTATTAACCTTACTTGATAACTTGTCCTAGGCTGCTGCAGATTGATGAGAATATGTTGGAATCAAAAAATTGCTCGTCGGTGCAATCCATTGGCGAGGCTGCCTGAGTTCCACTATTTGAAGATTTCGGACGACATACTTTTTCAGATTGAGACTTTGATTTCGTATATAACATTCTTTTCGCAGCTGTTTATCTAGCAATAATTCTCTTTTCGTCAGATCTTTTCGCTAAAAACTTCCAGGGGGAACGATCGAGCGTTACCATCCGTTACGCAAAATAGACATGGTCATATGCTTATCTTCGAGACGAATTTTAAGTACTCGTGGCCTGCCTGTCTCCTTCCTTCCATGACGTCGAGCCTTCTTAATGAATTCAGTCATGAATCCAGCGGCAACTACAATGTTTTCTGCTAAGAGCCTATCGGCAGTAGCAGATTCATCATCCGTAGATTTCTCTGGAGTGCCAGCTAGACATGGTTCTTTTTCCTTCTTTTCAAAATATTCTTCAATGGTTTCCAATACTTGTTCAGTTTCGATTTTTGAATGCTCGAAGTTGCCCAAAGACGAAGTTTTCAAATTATTGATATCATTCTTAAGTTCTTCGCTGACCTTTAAGTATTTCAACAGATCTAGTTAAATGCATAATTAAATCTTGTTGCTTTTCATATTTCTCAGTAATGGAAGATAGTTGTGACTTCAGATCCTCGATAGTTTTATTTAAACATCATTATTGGAAAGGGCCCCATAAGCTGCTATCTTTTTCGATGCCATTTGGAATTTTCTCTTATCTTACAAGTGAACGGTATAAAGCAATAAGATCAATATACTTTTGAAGAGAATATCTTTCAGACGAATGTAATAAGATTAATGTATTCCTTCTATAGTTTAGCGAAGCACCATACAATAAAATAATGAAAAACAGAGAGAATGACTAACACAACCGCTCACGAGAATAGAATTAAATTATTTAATAATTTTTAATTATAAAATTTGCTTAATTTTTCTACTGTTTTGCTTATGTTTATAATTGTCTTTATATTTATAAATATTAAGACAAAATTTTATAAATGATTAGTTCCAAATTTTTTTATGAAAACAAGCAGACCATAAAGCTAGTACTGGTTAAAGAAAACAAAAAAAATATGAAATATCGAAAAGGCTGAAAGTGCGAGGAAGAATGCGAAAAAAAGTAAGCAAATCATGGAATTTAAAAACGAATACTAACGAATGCTAGCGCTCACAGTGTCACCAATATTAGCACCAATATCAATTGAACACATGATTTCAAATAATGTAATGGCATTGATCATACTGTGAAGTTTTGTTATTAATGCACCAAATAAAAAAGAGACAACGCATTTGGTCTTACAAATTAGTTTGGTTTGAGTGTTTTTCATTATTTCTAATCTTTACATTGAAATAGTATTAAAATTTAAAATAAAAAATCTTATAAGTAAATAAATCTCTAAGCGAATCAAATTTATATCAGTCTGTGCAGTTTTGGCTTAAATTTATAATTTAGGCCTAGTTATGCGGTGAATATCATTGCAAACGTTTTATTGTACTGTATTGTTATTGTAAGCGCTAACTCGCCGATTTATGATATTTAGACATTGTACTATTTAAAATTAATAAATAAATACTTCTCCGTCGCCGTTTAATGTTCCAAACCAATTATCAACATCGAAATGAAAATTTTCATCAGTCTGTAGATCTTTAATAATGATCCGATTGCAAAACCATGATTGACGATACATTTCGCCAGTTTCATCAACCCATAGTCTCAATGCTTTCAATGATCCAAGGGATCTAAAAAAATGAAGCGACAAAATTAAATCACCATTTTGTTTTAATAATCATAAACCATTGATCATCACTAAAAATTCAATATTTGTTATGTTATCTTTCAGAAAAATAAGCTGACATTCCATTGATCATCTATGCATGCGATTGTCTTTAAGTATCATATAGTATCTTTAAGAAGGCGAAGAATTTTTCCAGTATTACTATGGATCAGAATAAATATATTACAGCTATGACCAACTTTTCAGCCTTTAGAAGAAATCGCTCTGTAGTTCCCCAAGAAAATTGGCATTTGGAACAAAAATCGTCGGCTAATTCTCGTACTAACTCAGAACCTTCCGTACCAATAATGTTAACAAATATCTAAAACCAAAATCATATAGAAATATTTAAAATAGAAATAGAAATATTTATTTCTTTAAAGTGATTGGCATTTAGGTGAACAATATCAGTAAATAATAAGCGAATAATGTTGGTAATTTTTTGTTAGGCGATGGAAATACTGATTGGTCGTCGAATTTTTGCGATAGGTTTGCTTCTATGTTAGGGCGAAGGAACTTAACCTTTGGCACACAGTGCAAATCGATGCAGTCATACTACTCCTCTTTACAGGTTTACAGGTTTTTTTAATCCCAGTTTTCCTCGAAGACCATTGGCAATGGAATTCTTGAAAAAAATGAGCTTTTCGAATTATTTTTAAAAACCTGATAAAAATTTAACTGAAAAAAAGATCAGAAAAATTTTAGAAACTAATCTAACATGTGAATCAGTAGTAGCAAACATTTTGTAACCAGTTTCAACTGCTATAAGATATTTGTATTCACTGTGAAATTTGTTATCCTTCATATAGCGAATACGACCCTAAATATCTGTGACATTATATATAGTTTTTTCTTCTAAAAATATTCACTGTTAGATTCGCTCTGCTGAATTGCTTGCCGAACAAATTTTGCCAAAGGGTCATTTGGCGAGAATATAGATTCATCATCACACGAGTTTTTCACGAATAAAGTTGTGGATTTGCTTTAGTCTATTGCTTTAGCACCTTAGGCCAGAACTGAGCAACAACCCATTCAATCTCCTTATCGCCATAGCCGTCTGATGAAGCGTCGGTTGAAACCGCGCCATCCTCACTTGGTGGCAATCATTTTACCATTAAACCGCTGACTCACCACACATGATTCCATGAAACTGTGATTCAATATTACTATGAAGTATGGAAGAAATATAAAATTTTTTCTGTCTAGGAAGGAAAGAATAATTTCGAAATGGATAGCGATTTTAAAACGATCGGGACAGAAAAGAAATAGATCACCTTTAAAATATCATTTTTGTCGTGTTCAAATCCTATCCATGCGATTATAAATAAAACGGAAGTCATTACAATTACAACAATAAAAACAGCTGCCGATCTCTGAAATGAAAGAAAAATTTAAAAAATTATCGTAATTAATTTTCATAATTTTAGAAAGAAAAAATTTTTGTAGAAATTTCCTATATATTGATAAATCTTATTATTATTTTGCATAAACCCTAAAATTTCTTATTAAAAGTCGAAGGATTTTGAACGTTAAGTTAATATTATTATTATAATATATATTTTATTTTTATATCAATTTCAAAACTGATAAATTGCCTTGAATGCAATAAGGCATAGCGCAGTTAATAAAAATGAATTTTTTTTAGATTTATTTTCTGAATTTTATAATTGTGTAGGAAATAAAATTACTTCATTATTGTTTGTTATATACTCATAAGAGAAAAATTCTGGAACTTTAGCACGGAAAGTTCCTGAAGAAAATACGGAAAGATGAGAAGTTGCACAACTAACTAAGGAATCGCCAATATGATTTTGCATCTAAGATAAAATGAATAATAAGAAATAAAGCAATCGAGTTCGTTTATTGGCAAAGCTATAAAGTCTGAAGAAAAACAGTAAATTGCTCAATTTAAAAATTGTATATGAAATAAGGGAGTTATTTAATAAAACTTTGATAAGTAGAATGTTCAGATATAACTGAGTAGTTCCATCCCCAAGCGATTCTCTGATGAAGAAGTCTCATACTATTAGCTAGTGGAGACAACCAAAAGAGAAATGATGAACGCTATTGAAAAAAGAAGTTAAATGGTTATTAGTAAACTGACTAAGTAGCTAAATGATTCTTAAATCCTCAAATCTCTTCAACGAAAATTTTCAGAGCATACAAACTTGTTAACCTGAATACCATCATTTCTGAAGAGACCACCTTCTTCATCATAAAAAAAACATCCTTTTGTAAAAATTCGAATCGAATATTGAAAAGGAAGTTTTCGCTCGAAATATTTCACATCATTTCCTCCGTATCGATATTCAACCAAATTAGTTTTATTTTTCGTAGAATTCTGTGGAACAGCACAACCAACACCGATGAAGTACAGTCCCATTTTGTTGTTTAATTCGTTGGCATTAATTATGTAAAAATTTATACCTTCAATTTCCTGGTTATTCTGATAATCTGTTCATTTTTTAATTGCTTTTACATCATTCAAAATAAAAATGAAAAATTCAGAAAAATAACCAGGAAATATATTTGTAGATACTGTTCTCTTACAATAATAAGAATATCTTTATTCTTTATCTTATATCTTTATATCTTTACTGTTCTCTTACAATAATAAGAATATCTTTATTTATCTTTAAGATAAAAAATTGAGAAGATGAAAAGTTAAATCTAACCTGTCTGTTTCTGTACTAAAAATCTCCATTGATGATCATGAGGTAGAGGACCAGGCAGACTTTGATATGCAACGAAAAGCCAAATTTCACCTTCATATTTTCTTCCTAATCCTTTCGAAAATTCAATGAAAATTGAACTATTCCATTGTGTTGTACGAAATGAATGTATGTCTAATATCTGATATATTTTAAAAATAATATTTTAACATCTGATATATTTTAAAAATATTTTAAATAACATACCAAATTAACTTATAAAAAATAATTAAGTCCATTAGTTAGATTTATACAAATTTTATCGAATGATTTGAGCAGTTTTTATATTTTTATAAAATATAAAATTTATTATTTGGATAAATATTATCTTGATTTTCTTTGGAGAGGATATAGCCCAGTAACTCAGATTAGTGTGCCAAAGTTTGAATTCCAACAGGAATAAACCTATCACCAAATGGACTTAGACTCAAATGGTGTTGAGGATAGAACAAATTCTATCTCCAGATGATTTTCATTATATTAACAAATAGACAAAAACGAGCCTAAATAGATATGGCCAAACTTATTACTTAATATTTAATAGATGATTGGTAGATGATTTGAATGAATTAAATTTTATACTTGATATGAGTTGAAGCCTTGAGCCATTATTTCTGTTGGGAATAGCAATGGCGATTTTTGACGATTTATCAGCATGATAGGCTTGATAGCTTTTTTCACGCTAAAAAAAGAGCAAAAAATAATTTGAAATCCTAAAAACTGACCAATCCTATCGTTTATTTCAAAAATCTTCTATAAATTTATAAATGTATAAATATATGAATATTATCTATTAAAAATTCAATAATAATAATTGATTCCTTGTATGCAATATTCGGGCAATTCCATTCAAATTTTGTATAAATATAAAATATAAATATATATAACTCACTTACAGAATTTCTACACCAGAAATTGTCTTTAAGTTTATTCGTAATGTTCCAGAAGTAATAAGTGGTTCAAAATTAGAAGCAAACTGATAAGGATTTGGCTGAAATAATTTCTTTTTTCAAAATTGTATATTCTTATATTAAAACTATTTAACAGGATCATAGTTAATATATGTTCCATAGCTTTCCCGTTTTATTTTATATTTGGAAACGCTATTCGAAAATATTGCTTGTCTCCAAAAGGATCCCATAGCACCAACAAGAAACCTACTGGAGCAAAGTATAAGCTCAACATGACAAAAAAAGTTTGATAATGAGGTCTATTTTCTTTATAAAAAATTTTCAGTAAAACTACATCGATGCAGACAAGCGTTATTCGAATAAAGTCACTATCGTTTAACCAGTTAATATTCAACAAAGCCATTGTGCTCGGAAATATTACCTGAAATCTCATAAAATAAGTAATATAGTTCAAATACAATTTATCATCATTCAATGCTAATATTTCAAATTAGCAGAATCCATAATTGTATAATTTCACCCATAAATTCATTCATTCTCACCTCATTTTATTCAATTTCCGGTTTAAATTTCATAGATTAAAAAGTAAATTCGCTAAAAATAACCATCAGATTGGAAGAAAAGGACTAACAGTCCATGAGTCGCAGATATATTTCTTCGCCAGTACTTGACTTGCCTTTCCATATGCGAACAAAACACAAACGCCCTTTATCTGAAAATACTGGTGTTTGTAAATTTTGCAATCTCTTTGAAAAAAATTATTTCGCCGAATATAAAAATTGTATAAGGCATAAAGAGGCAATAATGACAAAACTTATGAATTAATGATAAAGTATAGTTTGGTAATTTGTACACAAAAATTTAATGATCCTTCAGTTTTGCCTGCTGCTATTTTTTCCATTATTACAGCATTTTCCAGCGATGAGAGCAAGCGATCGATTGACTTGATTATTTTTAAGCTCTAAATAAATTTAGCTAAATAAATTTAAATTTAAAATAAATAGTAAATTATAAATAAAAATTACAAATAAATAATAAATATAAATTAAAATTATAGTAAAAAAATAAATAATAAATAATATAAATAAATAATAATAAATAAGTAAATAACAATAAATAAATTTGAAAATTTATAAATCATAAATTATTATTATGATTTATAAATTTAATAAATTTAATAATTTTATAATAAATTTAATTTTTTGTGAAGAACTTTTATAGAATTGGCCGTTATTTTCTGAAATGGTAAAATATCTATTGCATAAATGACGAAAGGTGGAATAAAATTTGGTAAATTAAATGGAATAAGAGATATCAATCCAACAAGAAAGAGCGATATTGAAAATTCGTTTTGCTCTGCAAAAAATAGACAAAATTATCTTTAAATGAGAGCTTTTAATTTTGAGTCGAGTGGTCTTTTAGATCACATATAGGAAGATTTCCATGGATTTAAAACAATAAATGGTTGAAATTTTCACACTTTTCTTATAAATCTATAATTTGAAATTAAAACCATTAGCATCTTTTTAACTAGAATAGGAGGGGGGGGGGGGGAGGAGAACAAATCACAATGCTATAAAAGGTAATTTTTCCGCACAGAAAAGATATAAAAATTTTCATAATATTTCTACCGCTTCTTTTTCAGTATACTTCTTGTCTTATGCACTAAAAATTACACTTGGAGAAGGGAAGCATAGGCCTACTTCAGATTGCCAAAAGGATTCATGCCCTAAAAAAAAGTTCTCTGTTTTATTTAAAAATCTATCATATTTTAAATCTATCATATTCGTATTTTAAAATATATCATTTTTTATAACTGAACTGTTCATCGTAGAAGATGAAATGGTCTAACGTTTTTTTTTTGTTGGATACGAGCTGCTTCAGTAGACCATTCTTCTTCTGTTAATTCATCGACGTATCTTATATCAGCTACAATATTTGAAAATACAAAACCTCTAACATTTATAAAGCTTTACGCTTTCAGTAAATTTTAAATTAGTATGGGAAAAAATTTGAAGTTGAAGTTTCAAAAATTTTGATTTTATGAACGATCATTTCTGCTCTGCTATTAAAAAAAATAAATTTATTTTTTTTTAAGAAAAGTTTTTCAGTTTCTTGTTCTTTATATTTTCCAATTTTCTTTTTTCTTCCTCAATTTCATTTTCTTAGAAATTGTCTTTTGACAGGAGCAAATCTGTCATAATACCGTTTCAAAAATACCGCTGGCTGTTGAAGCTGTAATTGTAATTCAACTCCCAGTGATTCTATGGTGAAAGGATCAAATCTTTTTGACAGGGCGTTCTTCGACGCTCATGATACGTCCAGTCCAGTGGCACATGCGATAAATATATACAATCCGGGCGTAGTAAAACGATCCCAAGGGTTGAGAATAATATTTGCTCGAGCTAAAGAAACGGCTTCCTTCATGCGCGGCGTTTTGTTAGCCATAGCAACATAGAAGGTCAGAATGCTTATGGACATTACAATCCAAGCGATCGCTGCCCACACTTTTTCTAAATACCATGTAAATGTCGGAGATTCGTTACTTTCGAGCAATTGCTAAACCTGACTTCGAGCGGGGATAGTGGCTATATTATTGTGGCGTTTCGGATAACTCGGAGCGAAATGGCGTAATGATTGTGAAATTTGAAAAAGCTCGATCCGCTCTGATTGATGGTAAACGAATGTATAGGCTAGCTTCAAAGGTCAGTTCTGCATTATTTCGGTTATCAATGTATACGCATGCTCTAATTTTATACACAAATGACCGCGACAAAAAAATTTTAGAACTTCAATTACTAACAATATCTCTACCGAAAAGTGACTCTGAGAGACTGGAATGCACGCGTTGATCACAATGCTGCACCGATAAAGTCCGTAATTAGCAAATATGGCATCAGGGCCCAGTACGCCAATGGACAAGGCTTTCTTCGCTTTGCCGAACTTTGAAGCTTGAACTTTTGTTATTAATATATTATTCTTAAATTATTCTTACGACATCGAAAAAAACATCACGCGAAATTTAACGGATAAGCAGCACTTCAACCAAATTGATTATATCTTAGTCAGTCGCCACTGGAAGAGCCCCGTATTAAATAGTTGTTCCTATCACGCGCTGAAACTGGTGGTCGTAATGGATTATGATTGAGCTGCAAGAGTCGCATAAGACTATTCGTAAGAAATGAATGTCTCCTAAGATCTTCTAAAAGTCTCAAAATAGAAGATTCGCAGAAAGTAAAAGTATTTCAAACCGAGTGTTGTTAGAGTACCTGAGTGATTTGAATATCAACGACATCTCTGGAACGGCAGATAAATTATTGGTCCGAATCAAAAGTATGCCTTCGAATTTCAGCCACTTCTATACTAAGATATGTTACTAGGAAATGCGCCAGTTGTGTATCGGAAGCAACTGTTTAACAGTTCAAAGCGGTTACCAATGTTGTGACTTTTTCGTTTAGACTGAACGGGGTTTGTAAGTCTGTCACACCACAACAATATAATAATTTTTTATTTTTATTGAAAATGGCGACAATAGTTTAGCTAAAACGTGAATTTAAAAAAAACTGTTTATACTGCAAAGAAAAGAAGAAAAAAACCCACTCCTACACAACGTTCAAAAAGGAAAAAAAGTGACCTTTTGATTTTTATAAGCAATGATTCATAGTTTCGAGAAAATTCTCGACAACCAAAACACTAATATCAGGAGAACCTGATTACCGGATGCTTCAAAGAATTACAACGGCTGCAACACGACAGAAATCGCTATTGGAGCGATATAGCCTTGAAAATACAGACAACTCGATTAGGCTAATAGGAATTACGCTATTTCGCCTTCTGCATAAAACAACTATAACTTGGGGAACGATCAGTGAAATGATGCGGAATAGCAGTAGTATACCCTGTTAAAGCTATTAGGAATCGCTTTATGAGGTGGAAGGAATTCTTTGAAGTCAAACTTCGACACTTGTTGTCCCGAACATTGCTGAATCGCTCGTTGAGCCATATGTTTCCAACAGAACAGGAAATAATCTCTTTGTTATCCAGAAACTTAAGGCCAGTAAGTCTCCTGGAGATGGTCTTCGTGACCAATTCTTCAAAATTTTGTTCGTCGTACTTCATAACACACCTTCAATAAATGTACTCTCAGGTACGGAAGAAAGAAATAATACCAGATGACTGGAGCAATTCTTAGGAAAGGTGGCAGAGCATATTGCGGCAATCGAGGAATACTATCTACTATCTCCGAGAAAATTTTTTATTTCTCTCCTATTGAATAGACTTATGGTGAGATAGCAGGTTGTCCTAATCAAGCTGAATTCAGACCAGAATGCAACTGTGATGGCCAAATTTGCATGTTAAGAAGAGTATCGGAACATTGCACGACATCGCCACTTTTTTCATCGATCTTGCATCCTTCGATTCAGTTGATAAAATAGTTCTTTAGAGGGTAATGAAAGTGACGCAGTTCCAGAGAAAATCATCCGACATAAAAGCATTTTATCTCCTTCATTTTGTCTATGTTTATGGGAAATTGAATTTTTCGAAATAAGAACTGGTGTCCGTTAAGGCTGCATTCTTTTCTCTACAGAATTCAACTGCACGATATCCAGTGGATAATGGATATCACAGGCCTTGAATACGCTAATAATGTAGTTTTTTTCGTTGACAAATATGACGAAATGCAGATAATGCTAAACAATAAGTGAATAACTGCAGCGAGAATCGGATTCAAGATCATCATAAATAAAACGAAAGGCTTTTCTCCTTATATACCAGAAGCTGATAAAATACATTTTTTTATCAGTTCATTCTCGACTGAAGAAGTGCCAGAGTATAAATATCTTGGATCCACTCTAAACAGTCCTAAATAGGGTGAAAGACGAAATTACAACACGGCTAAAGATAACTAAGTAGAGATGCTTTCTTCCGGTTGATGAAACCTTGGAGTCGTCGCAAGTCTATATAAAAACGAATGACCGCGCCTGCAACTCACTCGATCTTGCTAAATTAACTAATAAATATTCGAGTTGCTAGAAGAAGAATTAACTATTGAAAACATCCTGATGCTATCTTTAATTTTAGCCATAATATCGCAGATATTTCCATATTTTACAAACACTATCACTCACCTGGATTATAAGGTAAGCCTCCGAAAATATCGTCATAATTCTCAGCTTCATTTAATAAAGCATTATTCTTTTCAAATTGTAGTGGATTGGTTAATGCAATATTTATTGATCTTGCCAAGCCCCCAACCACGTTAGTAGTAAGAGCAGCAATCTACAATTTCAATAAACTTCATTAATAAAAAGTTGCAGTCATTGCATTCGTTTGCCTTTATTAATAATGAAAATCCAAAATTACCACAATTTCATTTTTAGTTCCATGTTTATACTTGCTAAGGGAGGGATATGAAATAAACTTACGATGGTTGGCTTTACCTTAAACAATATGCAATTTAATTACTTAGCCCCAAAAAGAGCAACAAAAAGCAAAACTAACGATTTCATATATAACTAAATATTTTTAAATATAAATATTAATATAAATATTTTTTTACGTAGACATTTTCACAACATTTATTGAGTGAAAATTTGAAATCTCACATTTTACAATATCAATTACTGAAAGCAACCTGGAATCTTTGAAACAACTCAACAAGTTTTATAGTTAATAATGGTTAATTTTTAATAATAGTTTATTTGCTTAAAATATCCAACCTTCCCGAGTTCATCATTTGAAAATTGGCCTGAACCAAGAAAATTGGCTATATTTTCCAAAATGGTTTCAATATTCCCTTGCGAATTACTGCTAATTAATGCTTGTTTTGCTAAATCTATAAGGAAAAGATATCGAAAAATTTTACAAAGATTTAGAAATTATCATTATCAGATTCGCATGAAAATTAAAGTACCTATTTGATTAATTTTATTAGCGTTATTATTGGAGACTTTGATGTTACTAAAGCGATATTTCTCATATCCAACGCGTTGAATAAAACCTCCTTCCAATGTTAATGTTCGATTTTCATCCGATAAAATCAGTGATCGATGATGTTTAAAAAATTTTGCATTCACAGCGCCTCGAAATAATTTTACATTTATTTCACTATTATCGCCAACAGCAACCTAAAGAATAAGAAATATAATTTTTTAAAACATATGTCAGCAAAATTTGAGGGACGGATTTGAATCAAACTTATGACATAGAAAATTTAGTATCTGAAATGATAATTTTTAAAATATATCTCAAAAAACCGATATTATAATGGCTTTTGAAATGAAAACCTATATTTTGGTGTATGAATATAATAAGAAGTAATAATATTGGTAATAATAAAATAATAATGATAATAATAATATTGATAGTAATAATAATATTAATCAGATATAATAATAAATTAATAGTAATAAAAAAATGATAATGATAATGATGACAGTAAATATAACACGTAATAGCTATAATAATAACATTAATAATAATGATGATGATAATAATAATAATAATAATATAATAATAATAATAATAATCAATTTTAGTGATGAGAAATTACAATTTACATCATGTCAAATTGCGTTGAGTTCATTTTATTTTTCATACTCAGCAATGAAAGCATTAAAATATCCATTTTAATTCATGTTTACTTTAATTTTTAATTTAATAAACGCGGTAAAATTTTTTCTTAAAATAAGTATTATGTTCATCATAAAAAGAAAGCGATAAAAATAATTTTAAAAAATAAATAAATAAAAATAAATATATATAAATGAATCTCCATATTACTTATTGTGGATTATACAGGTGATTTCGGATTTCGGACAAAATGTAAGATAAAAATGAATCATGACCTCAAGTTCTGTGCCAGCAATTTCCAATGGTTTCATAGCAAGGGAATAAATCCGTACATTGTCTCCACTATAGAAAAGTTTTGAACCTGGCTTTAAGGTTTTATTTTCACCTCCTTCATAATATATCTGAAAAAAATATCTTAAAAAATTTTGAAATCTTGTACATGCACATGTAAATTTCTAGTAAATTTAATTTTTTACAGTTATTATCTTTCCCAGAAATGACCATTATTTATAAAATTCCCATATTCACCAAGCCAGATTTAAGCTCCAGCGAACTGCCTGTATATAAATATTCCTGCAGAGTTTCAACATTCATTGCAGAATTAAGTGGTACAAATGTTGCATTGATCATAATTTCGCCAGTGAATTTTGACGGTTCTCGCATTTCTGAATTTTATCAGCAAAAATTAGTAATTAGATTAATTTCAAGGTCATATTTTTTTAAAAATTTGAGCATTAATTACGCGGTATCTAATACATTTTTGATAGCTAGAAAACAAACAGCAAAAGCAGGTTTCAAGCAGGAAATATATAAGAAAAAATAAAATAAAATTAAGAAAAACAGAGAAAACCTGAGAAAGCAGTGATTAGCTTGAGCACCGTGGATTTAGCAGGATTTAAGACAATCCGCTTATTTCTTCCAGATTCTAGCGAGTTAACGAAACTTTCTGGATCTATTCCTTCGATGCGAACTATGTCTCGGAGAATTTTTGACAATTTTTTGTCAATATTTTGCGGATATTTTCCACCATATATCGTTATCGATAATTGCTTTTTACTTTTCCATCCATATTTCAATATACCTCCCCTGAAATCACATAGCTTCGAGAAATTTTGGAAATTAATTTCCGCAATTTTCGCTCGCCTTGAAAAAAAAAAGAATCTGTCGCCGAATGGCGAAAAAAGCTGTAAATTTGAGCAAGTTATTCGGATTCCCGCCCATCGTAAATTAAATATAAGCTCCCAAAAGATCATTTTTGGTCATTTTGTGCTTCTAGTAGTGGGAGAGCTGTGAGTGATAAGCATTTAGATCTTATATTTGATTTTATTTTACTATATTATTTCTTTGCAATAGGGCAATTGCCTCGCTTTTTTTCTTGTATATTTTTCTCGTATATTTGCGTGGTAGGAAATCTATACAGAAAAAAGATGGTGGAGCGGATTCCCAGAAGGAATTTCTGTAAAGGTAGAATATTGGAAGGGGAATCGCCGTGCTCCCATCGAAAATTTCACAGTGCTATACCTTTTTTCTGTACAGAATCAACCAGTTCCAATCAACTTTTCTTATAGGACAAAGAATAAGTTCGGTTTTCCAAAAAATGTTTCACCTTATTTAACTCTATGAAATTTTTCTAAGCATTTATAATCTTATAACCACTAATATTTTATTAGAAACAAAAAAGTACTGATATTCAACGTGAACGATTTCAGCATTCCAAGTGAACTGTAACTGAGCTGAATTAACGGCTTGGAATTGACCAATTGATAATGATTTGCTCGTTTCATTAGTGATCTAAACAATTCATTCATTATTTCATTATCCCGAGGCTGTTAAAAAACCTGAAATTAAAACTACTGAGAAAAATCTATCCACATAAAAACAAAAAAAGATGAAAGAATGTGACGAGAAAAGCATTGCATTGCTGTGCAATACTTGAGTACGAGATATTAATTAGTTGAAGTCCATTACTTATTTTCTTAAGTACTAATGAACGAGTAACAAAAAGCTCTGTTAACCATGGCTCATCTGGATTTTGAAAATTTATTTTAACGTTTTAACGCGCTGAAATGAAGGGAAAATTCTTTAATAAGTCTCATTTTTGGAACAACGCTGTTGTTGTGTTGCATAGTCATAGCGCTATCTAATTAAAGGCAGTGATGAAATTGATAAAGCACGTAACGACAAGTAACGAAGGACATGCGCATATCATAAATCCATCCGACAGAGACTTTCTAGAGGTAGCTGGTAGACGATTCCTCGATGATCGCCGCAGTGTATCCCACCAGAACTGGAAACAACATCGCTCTGCTTCATTCACATGATATTTGCTCCTTATCACAGATAACCAATGTGCTGGGTTGTAGAGAGTATTAAAAGACCATATCTCAGTTCGACGAATCAAACAAGATTTAATTTATATAAGATTCTGTATGGTTATATTAAATTGTTTAAAATATTATAATTTTAGGCCACAAATTTGAATCCAACAAGAACTAATGGGCTAAAATTACTAAAACCTATGTGTAAAACTAAACTAAGGATTCATGACTTTTTTATTCGTACTGTTAATTACTGGAATAAATTACCGAACTATATAGCTTGTGCGCCATCCCTATCTTTATAGCTATCTTTGAAAATAGATTAGATAATATCATTTATGATATTATTTAAAAAGTTTAGATCATGCAGGAAGTGTGAAATCTCGATTTTTACCATCCGGTTATATATAATACAAATTTCGAACTGAAATATGGTCTTACTTCGAACTGTACTATATTACATTATTCTGTAATTTCCTCTATAAATTAATTTTTTGAAATATTTTCTTCTTTTTTTTCCTATTATTAATTTTTATTATTTGTTATTTCAATTGCTATTAATACAAGCACATGGCATTGTCGCTCTGCTTGGCCGGTTTTCAATAAATAAATATCTCTGGCTGCAGCCATTCCAGCTGGAATTTTACCCTTCGCTTAGTTTTTGAATGTGAAAATGAATCGGAGGTGTTCAAAGTTTAGCTTCTTCGGTCGTTGATGAAATTGATAAATTTTAACTAGCTTATGGAAGGTTCAACTCAAAGGACAATTTCTCTCGAGGTTTTATTGGCTTTAAAGTTTTGGATTACGGAGACAACTACTTCGGAATATTTTATTTGAGATTCGCGACTGCAAATGTGGATAAAGCGGTCTAATTGCTTGAGCGCGAGGATTTCCTCTTGTCTCTGTATTTCGAAAGCTGAAGACCAATTTTCCCTCGGAAAAGATGGTCTATGAGCTAAACTCTTGAAATGTTGCCTGACTCCTTTCGCAACATGCCTGCAAAAGGTATGGAAGGATACTAGAATAAGGCAATTTATAAGGCAATTTTGCTTCCAGACAACAAGAAAGATAATAGAACGTAGCGTATTGCGACAGCTATAGAGGAATCAGCCTGCAAAATATTTTTGGGAAAATTTTTGTTTCTCTTCTGCTTTTTCTGAATAGATTCTGCTTTTCTGCTTTTTCTGAATGGCAGTGGCGTAATGGCAGTGGTGAGTAGGTTTTAGGCCTAAACAATCTCTTGAAATAGTTCACTATGTTTTCTCCATTATAATTTTCATGCGATAATTTCGGTTATAAACATAACTTGCTGATTCCAAAGAAATAACTTAAATAAGCTGATAATGTGGTCGTTTTTGCTGGCAGCTACGAGGAAACAGAATTTGCCTTCAAATTAAAATCTGTTCACCGTATATATAAGAGGTTAATACGATCGAATTTGCATTATTTCACCAATGGTTAAAAAAGTGTTAGGCTTTAAAGATCTTTAATCCATTTCATACATAGTGGCCAGTCGGAAAATAAAATTCCAACACATATGAATGCAGCCAGAGGTCCTTCTTCCGTCACTGATCCTTAAAATTGACCTTAAGATATCGAAACGTCTCTGGAATCGTCTCGCATCATAGCGAAAGTTCACATTATCTGGCTATTGTACAAAATATATGGCTAAACTTGGCTAGTGATAGTGGAAGATATCGGGAAGCTATCTATAATTGACCATTCTTACCTCAGATACATCCTTCACATCCGAAAAACGTGTTTGCTTTTCGTCATCCATCAAAGAAGTTGTGGCTATTTGCTAAATCAGATGGCTGCAGGGGACTCACCTGCACCTTTATCCCCAGGTGATTTTATGGTGAAAAGGTCAGGTCTCTTTTACGCAACTCCGCGTCTCCTGACCCGCACAATTTCTAACCCGGTTGCATAAGCGATAATACACAATCCAGGCGTAATAATAATAATAAAAGGCACAAACATAGAATATGAACCGAGAATACTCAAAATCCGTCAAGAGAGGCGAGGAACACTTTGTAAGTGCGGTAAGTTGCTAGCTATAACTGCTTGCGACGTTAGAACGCTTATGGATGTTACAAGCCAAGCAATCACAATCGACACCATCTCTAAATATCGCATGGATATAACCTGTTTGTCGAAGGTCCATCCTCCTCATGTCGGCTCCAGTAATTATTAGACTTAATTCAGAGTAAAGATATTGGCTGTATTATAGTGGTGTCTCGGATAACTCGGAGCGAAATGGTGTAGCGATTCTCATGTCTGAAAAGGCGCTAGAGCTGTTCTGATTGAATGGAAGGCAGTACATGACCATATGGCCTATGCGCGTTTCAGGGAAAGTTCTGCAATATTTCGGTCATCAGTGTGTATATTCCAACTTTGCGCAGATGACCGCGATAAGGATATGTTCTATGCGGAACTTCAACATTCTTACCGAGAGGTGACAAGGTCATACTCGAGGGAGACTGAAATACATTCGATAATTGGCAAATATGGCAATAGGAGTCCAGTGCGCCAATGGAGAACGCCTTTTTCGTTTTCCTGAAGAGCATGAATTCTTTGTTACTAATTCATGCTTTCGGCACCGGGGAAATACGTGGAACTCTCTGGACAATATTCCAATATTCCAATTAGATCGATTCCCAAGATTTTTCAACTATCTCAAATTAAAAGATCCAGGAATGATAAGCGCATTTCAAACCGAAACACCTCAGAAAAATGAACGTCAATGACATCAATGACATCTCGGAAAGGCTGGTCCCAACTAAAGATATGCCTACAAAAGTCAGCCATTTCCACACTAGGGTATACTAGTAGGAAGTGCGCTAATTGGAAGCAATCGCCCAACTATCTTTAAAAGCTGCCAAAACCCGAATATCAGGAGATTCCTCATCAGGTGCTTCGAAGAATTTCAACGACAGCAGCACGGCGGGACAGAAATCGCTATTGGAGCGATATGGCCTTAAGAGAATGGAGACGGCGAATCGGTAGGTGATAATAGGAAACTGTTTCGCCTTCTCCGCAAAGCAACTATAACTCGAGAAGAAATCAGTGAAAAGATACGAGGGTGCCTATTAAAACTGTTAAGATGGAAAAGATTTTTTGAAGCCAAATTTAACCACGATGTGGCATCTGTTGTCTTGGATATAACTGATCGTCCTTATATTTGCAGCTCCCAACCCCCAACCCTCAACAGAAGAGGAAATATTCTCTACAATCCATAAGCTTAAGGCCGATAAACTCCCAGAGAAAATGCTCTTCAAATATTACCCATCATCATCTATGAATCACCTTCAACAAAAGTATTCTCTGGTATGGCTAAAAGAAATAATATCAAAGACTAGAGCAAAGCAATTCTGCTTCCAATTCCTAATGACAGGAGATAATGCGACAATTACCGAGGGATCAGCCTATTGGACATCTCCGGAAAAAATTTTCATTCCCATCCTGCTAAATAGACTGACAGCAACAAGAGAGGATGCGTCCTAATCAAGCTGGATTCAGACCGGAACGCGGTTGTGCTGACCAGATATTTATGCTAAGAAAGGTGCTGGAACATCGCTTCAAATACCAGCAACCCACGATCACTTGCTTTATCGATTTTGCAACTTCTTTCGATTCGATTGATAGAGCAGTGCTCTGGAAAGTAATGGAATATGACGGTGTCCCACAGAAGATCATTCGGCTCACAAAGATATTACACAAAGATATAAGGTAAAGGTAAAGGTATCAGTATACCCTGGTGCAGATCTGTATATATGGGGGAACTGACATACTCTTTCGAAATAAGAACTGGAGTCCGTGCGTCCTTTCCCCCATAATATTCAACTATGCGATGGGTAATGGACAGCACTTTTCAGCACTCAGGGGGTGTCCAAATCAATCCAGATCATCGTATCACAGATCTTGAATACGCTGATTGTGTAGTCCAGTCCTTTTTGCTGACAGTTATGAGGACATGAAAATAATTTTAAATAATGTATCAACAACTGCAGCGAGAAATGGACTCATAATCAATGTAAATAAAATGAAAGTCTTTTCGCCCTATATACAAAATGCTGATAAAATACCTGTTTTTATCAATTCATTGCCTATTGAAAAAGTGCTGGACTTTAAATACCTTGGATCCACTCTAATCCCAAATGGCCAGGCAAAGAATGAAATTGTGAATGAAGGATGAAACCCGGGTTATGGCAGCGAGAGATGCATTCTTTCGATTGACGAAACTTTTATGGAGCAGTTGTGAAATTACCATAAGAACGAAAATCTGCATCTATAAAGCTGTGATTCTTTCGATCTTGTTATATACCACTTCAAATACCACTTGCATTAATAATGTTATTACAGGGAGTCGTCTTCGCTAGTTAAGGCACGTTCTCTGTAGTCCACAGGAGTTGAAACATGAAGCATATTTCGTTACTTACTAAATCCTGTGTTAGTTGGCGTCAAAAGTGAGGAAGGCCAGTCAAGACCTGGACCGATACAATTAGGAAAGATTTCGAACGCATAGGTGGACCAGCAATATATGGACTTTAATGAAGGAAAAAGGAATGGCTTCTATTACTGTCTGCGATGGCGTCGGATTGAATAGCTTGCATATCCTATCTTACTACCTTGTAGCCAGCAGAGGCAGCCTAATCAGTAATGGTGAGGGCTGTTAGAAGAAGAAGCTAAATTTTGATGGATGTGGTGGAAATGCGATGGAACAGCGTGAAGGGCCAGTCAAAACCTGGATTCAGAGGAGAGGAGATTTTGAACGCATAAAGTAATATATAATCTTAGACGGTGGAAAAAGGAGTGGCACCATTTACTTCAAGGATATAGCCACTTTGGTTTGACTTTAATGACTCGTTTCTCTGTCACGACAACCGAAACAAATCTGTTAAGATTAATGGCCTTTATAGACCAAATAAAGAATCTTTATAGGTCAGAATAAACCATTTTCTTTTATAAAAGAAAAGCTACTTTTCTTTTATAATGTTACACGGAAATTAAAGTGAGCTTATGCAATCGATTTAGAACAAATCTGTATGAAGACTGTGTGAGAAACATTTTTTCATATTTAGTTTCATTTGTTAAGTAAAACTCCCTCCATATATTTTCTGCTGTCTATTATATTGTTGTCTATTATATTATCTTACTACATCAAATCACTTTTCCGAATAAATCACTGGGGTTCGAAGTCCATAACAGAAAAATAAGTTCCAATTCTAAAATTTTCATTTTTGTCGAAAAATCGAGATAAAATTATTCAAATTATATCAAATAAAATTATTCTCAGTTATTTCTAATTATTTTATTTATTTTTATCCAACAAAGCGCGAATATTTCCGAATCACAGGTTCGTAGGTTGTAGATTCGATCCTTGCCAGTATTTCAGTTCATTCTGATGTTGTCATATAGAATTAAGTTCAGACTTTCCAGACAAAAACTTCCTTGTATTTATCTTGTCGTCTTTTTTTTAAACACGTCAATACGAATCTATTTTATGAGATTTTCAGTATAAAAATATCATCAAAAAATATTTGTCGTTTGTTTTTTGCAATCTTTACATTCTTTTTTGAATGGCGTAACTTATTATCAATAATTAAGAAGTAAAACAAACAAGAAGCCTTACTCCTAAGAAATAAAGGAAAAAAATTTTAAATGAAATGAATGAAAAATTCTAACATCGAGTATTAAAGCACATTTTCCCGATTTTAATTCAATCCATGATGTAAAAGTAGCTTTCTTAACATTTTGTGTTTCAGCCAACTCATGATATGTGAAATTCCATGCTGTAATTTTTTGATCAGTCCATTCAGTAGAATTTTCCATTATCTAAAAAAATTTTTAGCTAAGAAATAGTTTTAAGGGTATATTGAAAGAACTTTTTTATCTGCATTTATTCTAAATATTCTAAATTTAACCATGGAAATTTTGAGCATATGGTGGAATGAAAATGTATTGTGACGTGGTGAACGCCACTATTTCTATATTTTTCTTCCATATTTCAGGAATTTTTTCTGAAAGAATTATAGATTCGTTTCCGCTTTATCAGTATAAATAATAAAGCATTCGTTATAAATTATTCTTAAACAAATATAATAGACGTTTGTTGTGCCATGGAAATGAAATGAAATTGCAATATCCTTCGCTAGGCACTGCGTTTCGAAAATATTCGAAGCAGTATCAAACGAAAAACCATTTGATAGCTTTGCTGATGCGGAAGCAAATCCCATTTTCTCTGAATGAATCTGAAAATTAAACTTGGAAATGTCCGCTCATGTTTGATTGTCGCGACATATAGTTGCTTGAAATATGGAAGCAGATATGTTTAACGACATTTTTTCATTAACTACTGGTTACTACTATTGGTTACTGGTTAGTAATAAGAGTCATCGAATAAGATTAACACCATTGAATTCTGTCTATACGAGATAAATCTGGCTTAATATTAAAGTATTCATATTCATCATCCAGTAGTGCTTAATTTAAGTCAATTTAAGTTAGGCATGTATTTAAATTTAAATTTAAGCTTAATTCATTCACAAATAAATACTCGAAATTCATCGGATGAATTTTTCATAGTGTAAGCTGGTCGAACATCACCCGTTAAAATAGTTTCTCCAGCTTTGATTGTCACCTAAAAACCAATTTTTTTTTTTATTTCAAATGGATAAGTTCGCTTAAGTCCACTGCATATTGTATTATTATTTTAAAATTAGCTTTATTTTCCACCATATGATCCCATTTAAATTTCCAGATTTTCTTGGCTTTCCAAATTTTTTATAAATTGGTATGTAAATAACTATTCTCGGTTTTATAGTGCATATAAAATAATTATCTAGCTTGATAACTTTAGCTGAACCTCAACCTCTCTCTCTTTCTCGGAACAAATTAAAGAGATTGTTTTTTAAGGGTTCGATGTATTTTTGATTCACTATGTAATTTTTCCTATCTATTTCACATTAATTTGGAGTTGTTAAATATTTTATTCATAGTTAATCTAGAGTGCAATGAAATTACCAAATCTCTTTTCCGCCACTTATAATCCACTTATAATTTTCCATGATTATGCAGTTTTTCTTTAAATTTTACTTAGAAAATTTCTGTTTTTTCTTAAAAAAACTTTCATATGCATCCTTAATTGTATCCTGCTTAAGAAAAATTTGAAATATTCAACAAGGTAATGAAGACGACTTACCACTCCATTAATTACACTTAAAGTATGTTCAGCACTCTCTATAAGACCAAATTTTGCCTGAAAATTGCCTTCAATTTTATTGTTAGGTTCGTCTTCTTGGACCAAAGTTGTATCAAAAGCATTAGAAAGAATATTATCGAGATAACCCAGTAGATGAACCAGACTCTTCTTGTCTTTAATTTTATCTTTAGATAACGACTCGATATCTTGCTCGATTATCTACAAAAGATTTGCAACTTTGTTTGATGCAGTCATTCATATCACACCATATTCATCATATTTTAAAATAATCTTAACCCTATCTGAAAAATTCTTGGTCATAAATCTTATAATTAATAATTAAGGTATTCGATTGCAAGCACCACGGGTCTGCCTCCTGCGGTTGAAAGGAATTAATCTCGTCATTAAAAATGGAATCTTTCTAGGGCTAATTTTCTGGAGAAACAGGTTTTTCATTATAGTATGTTAAATCAACCAAACCAGAAATGGGAAGTGCTCTTGAAAGAAGGAGAACAATTATACTCTCTTATTTTCTTTTATAATTTTTATATCATAATGATAAATAATAGTAAATTCAACAATTTTCTAATCAATTAATCTTAAGAGTTAGCATCTAAATTTATTATACACTGATTATTTCCATTGCTTTATGACCAATATACATCGATATAATTAATCCATTACTTTGGCTTTTTTTTCATTCTGCGCAATTTTTATCGAATTTATCGAGCTTATGAACTCATCTCTTGAAAGATCACCAGTTTCTAGGTTCCCAGTTAGAATGCTATCAGCGAATGCTTCCGTTTCAGAATTCTGAAAATTAGCACTAAAAAAAAGCGACAAAAAAATTTATATATGGATGGGTTTGATGTGAAAGGATTTACAGATTTTCAGAAATATAACTTGTAGATGAGCGTACAAAAATATACATTAAACCCAAGAATAGTTCTAAATTCAATCTTCATTTTCCCAAGTGAAGAATTCAGGTTACTAAGAACATTTTCGATTATATTTGTATTATTAATCATTTGATAAATTTCGATACTGCTGGTAGATTGTATCGTTTCAGGGAATTTCGATGAATGAATGACACTTCCACTTATTTCGTTAGAAACCTAGAATTAAAGAATGAATAGATATATGGTTATATCTTTGAAATGAAATGCTAAAAGTTGCTTCAGAATAACCTTCATGGCTGAATAAATCATTGGGTCAGTTTCAGTACCGATTTCTACCGTTGTTCCAATTAATATTGGTTTAGTTGAACACATTAATGTATCGCTAATAACAGAAAATATTTCAAATTCACCAAGTGGAATTTTGAAATCAGCTAACGACGATTCACTTTCAGTAATATAAATTAGAGTTCCATTATCCATTTCTGATCCTATACAATTTTAAATTACGTGTGAATTTTTTTAACTGCATAATCTATATTTATATAATTTCTTATAAATGATAACTGGAGTCATAAAATAAAAATTATATATTCTTTGATAGCAAAGGATAATAGCAGAGGAATGAAAACTACAGGTAAAGATTTTGTTTTTTAGATGAAAATATATCATAATTTAACTCATAATAAAAATGATGATTAGATAGCATATTGTTTCGAGTAAGGTCAAGCCATCATAGATTCGATTAGTTTGAAATAATCTAAATTTTATTTTTAATAACCTAGATTAATAGCTGGGAACCCATCGAACCATATTTATATCTCCAAGTCTGCGACCTACTTAACCAAACTAGAAATGGTTATTAGCACGACTAGCATAACTAGCACAGACAAAGATTATTGTTGGTAAAAAATGATAAAACTTGTGAAAAAAACATTTCTTTACTGTAAAATTGATAAGATAATATTCCATCTTGATCCATCCAACCATTGCACGATGCAAATACATTAAAATTACCATAAATAACTTCTATTATCGCCTTGCAAGTTCCTCCTTCTGGTGGCAAATTATTCTACAAATTTTAATGAGTAGTTATCAAGAGTCAAGAATCAAAGGCTAGCCAGCATGATTTAATTGCGAAATATTTTGGTAATAACTGCATTTGTAAAGTGGTTTCGAAAGTGGTAAATATTTAGTTTCGATTAAAATGTAGCCATAGCTTCAATCCTTTTCGTTGATAGGTGCAAAACTAGTTATTAATCGAAATCTAAATGATACTTAAGAAGTGATTCTTTGGCGGAAAATCTTAGCAGCTAGTGGAACGAGTAAAACCAAAAATACTATTGGGAGAAGAAACGTTTGTGGAAGTAATGCTATTGTACCATTTTTTAAAGCTGATTCTTATGTCTAAAAGAAGGCTAACTTCTATATATTCATGTATTTTGTACGTTCCACCGTCTGATGCTCCAAGTTTATTTGTTTGTACAGTTGTTTCAAAACGAAATGATAAAATTTCTTCTAACTCATCGCTTGAATACATCTAAAAATTTTAAAAATTTGCAGTTTTCTTGGACACTATATGCTACTATTTGCTCAATTTAAAATAATTTTATATTTAATATTAGTCACATTATTATTTAAAATATGGAATTGTGATAAAGAATACATTAAAATTTCGAAACTTTGTTTTTACGGCTTGTTTGATTGAATGCACAAGTTGGAATGCACCTTAAAACCAATAAAAAAAATCTAACATCCGAAATTGCTACAGTACTTTGGTTACCATTCTTGACCATACAATTTTGCCATTCACTTTCCCTTTTCGCATAAATCCTTTTATATCTTACACTTTTCAGGAATTTTTTGTTATCGCAGTCATTGCAATTCACCATTGTGAATTTATGATATTCTTTCGAAATTTTGTTTTTACGGCTTGTTTGATTGAAGGCACAAGTTGGAATGCATCTTAAAACCAATAAATTATCTATAATAGTTGTGAATTTTCTGCCGATGTGCCAACTGTGAATTGCAGATCAATTGCAGACCCTTGCAGATCAACTGACCTTACAGATTCATTGCTAAATATTAAAATATACTGAATTAATTAGAGTATATTTTGAAATAATTATATCTTTTCATTAATTAAAACAACATACGAAATTTCAATTTGTTTGGGACGTCCAGATTCAACCGAGGTTTGTGTTACATTGCTAAACTGTATAGATCTTTGATTTGAAAAATTCCAGAAATATGGTGGCAAAAAGTGATGACTTATAGTTAGCAAATATTTCGAGTCATTTATTGTCGACGACACCAAGCTGCCATGAAATTCGGAAACTTTTTCATTTTTTGCTGATTTGCTTACTATTTTTGATTGAATTACTGGATGATCGGTTGTCTTCATACTAATCGAATGTTGTAAATCTAAGAATCCTTTGACGCTAGGTTGTTTTACTTCTTCGCTTAATTTAGATTCATCATTTTGTGACAAGATCATTTTTTCGGTATAAAATTTTGCGGATTCTTTGGTCTGAATATAGGGACTTAAAAATTCATAGATGATGGATCTCTTCGCAAATTCTTCAGATTTTTTAGAACTCAATGTATTCATTTTTTCAGTTTTAGTTTTAAAAATTGAAACTAGACTTAAATTCTTAATATTTGTGAAATCGCTTTGAATCGATGTGTTTTGAGGGCTAACATGTATAGTTGGTTGAATAATACTTGGGACTGATTTCGACATTAATTCAATTGAATAGGAGGATCTCGATGCCGCTTGAAGCGTATTATCATACGTCTTGAGAGTTTTAGATGTTTTATTTGTGAGAAAAACATTAATTAATGGATGCGATTCAGTTAAATCGGTGGCGATTGCAGTATGAATATTCTTGGATTCTTCCCTGTCAATAATCGCTTTCATATATTTATTTTTCTTATCTAAAATCGTTGAAAATTTTTTATAAAAAGTAATTAATTCAATTGGTTCAGTTTTAAAATCAGCACTTCTCAAAAGAAAATTATGTTTTCTCGAAGATATGCCATTTAATACTTCATTCATTAAAAAATTTCCAGTAGACTCGTTGAACAGTAGAAGAGGCTCATCACTTTTGGACGAAATTGTGAACATATGCAAGTGATTATTCGCAATACTGCGATCTCCAGCTAAAGGCGTGGATAAAAGTCGATTTATCCCCATTGAAGTTAAATTACGATGCATGTTAGGAACAAGTACTTCTAAAGTATTAACGTAAAATGGTGGTACTTTTCCAATTCCCAATGAACTTTCAAGCAAAGTTGTTGTTGTAAAATGAGCTTCACCACTTTTTTTTCGTTGAGATGATGCAACGAAATTTTCTTTTTCAGTAATTATCGCATCTACTTGAGGTGGATTAGTTAAAGTTTCTAGCAAATTTTGATCCTTTCTTAGTCTTAATGTACTGCTCTCAGAAACATCGGATTTTATTCTTCGCTTGTCCTTTAGAGTTTTGGATATTATAGTAAAAATGGTTTCATAATCCGTAAATTTCATTACTTCAGTTTTCTTGGTTGCAGTCAAAAATGAATCCATAGCTTTTGCTTTCGTAGAACGAAATCCACTCGAATCTTGCGAAATTGGAGTAATAGATTTGTTAAATAGTGTAGTGGTAGCGATTTCAAACAAATCTGCTACTGCCTTCTCAGGTATGTCCGTTGTAAATTCCGCTACTGGCTTTTTTGCATTGATTCTGCCACTTTCTTTACTGGTTGTGGGGAAAATTAAGTTTGGTTTTCCCAATTTTTTTTGTAGAGTTTTTATAAGGTTTATCTTTGTTAATATATTTTTCATGGTTGTTTTTAGGATTTTAGCTATCGTGGTCATCTTCAAGTCCTTATTTTTCATTCTTGCAATTTTTGCAATTTTTATGATTTCTTTTGGAGCTGTGGTCTCTATGGATTTTTTTATACTTTGATTGGCTTTTTTAATAACTGTATTCTTCATGTTCAGTGTTTTTATTGATGTTTTAAGGCTGTTTACTTTTGCGGCTCCAAATGGAACAGTTTCAGCGAATTTTCTTCGGTCTGAAGTTTTCAAGGTCTTTTTTAGGCCTGTAAATTTCGTGATTTTGGCTGGATCTGAGATTTTCGTAAACATTTTCAGGCCATTAGTTTCATTAAGACCAGAGATTCTGATGCTCTTTTCTGGGCTCATCCCTTTTGTGATTATTGCTGGATCTGAACTTTTTTGAACAATCGTTTTTAGACCTGTAAAATCCATGGCTTTTGCTAGATCTATGATTTTCATTGGCGTATTTGAAATTTTAGTTTCAGTAACTTCCATTGTGGCTAAGGTTTTAATGTTCGGCTGTAGGCTCACAGCATTGTTGATTTTTGCTGGAGTTGTGGCTTCCATGGTTGCTTCTATGGCTTTGGTATTCAAGGCTTCATTGGCTGTGGTTTTCTTGGTTCTTTTAGCATTCGTAGTAGTTTTTAGACCTCTGGTATTCACTGTAGTTTTTAAATGCGTGCTTTGCATGGTAGTTTTTTGATCTGCATCCCTTTTTTTTGTACTTAAATAGCAAATATCATTTTCAGCAAATAAATCTGAGCAAATAGTAACCGGCTTTAGGCGAATCGGTAAATCTATGCCAAATTCTTCCTTATATATAAGATTTGTGATTGTTACTTCATATGTACCAGCCTAGAAATATTCTTTGAATAAGTTGTAAGGATAAGGATAAAGAAAATGGCGCAGCATCAGCATTTATCGCTGCCTGTTAAGAATCTGTGCAATTTTAAAAATTAATGAGAAATCGTTTAGAAAATTTTTTGAAATAATGCATTAATACTTCAGTACCTGTTGAAGATTTATTGCAAGTAAAGCGTCATCATGCGTTACAAATGGTTCTATCGATGGCAAATTTTCAAATTTTATTTCATATGGAATTTTTTTAACTGAAAAATTGTCATGACAGTAATTATTTTTAATGGCCAATTAATAAATTGTTTTGTTTTACATCACATAGTTTTGTGCAGCATTACCTTATCTGCTAATTAAAGTAGTATTTGCCGCAATATGATGATATGTTTACTGGACTATCGCATCGTATAAAAGTGGTAAAAGGTAGATAACTTCTTAATATCCTCCACTCTCATTAACCATGTCTCACAACTATATAGCAAGATCGAACGAATGAAGCCAACCAAAAATGGTGAATTATTAATATAGAAGACTATCGATTTCTTTATTAATTTATCTAAAATAGCAATCGCATTCAGTCGGGGATTTCTTTGGTCATAAAAAGGTCCTTATACTCTAAGGATCTTACTATATATTACACATAGAAACAACATACTTTTTCGAACACATGCATTTCGGCCGAAATGCTCATAATTTGAATTAAAGAATGTATTTTCAATTATGTATTTATTCAATTCAGTGTTGGCAATCTCTGAGCAGATTTTTTTTAAAATTATTTCATTGTTTTTTTCTTGAATCCATTCACCTCCACATTTATCTCCTTTAAAAAATTATTTTTAATAAAAAATAGGTAAGTAATCTTCGAAAATTTTCAAAATTTTTTAGATTTTGTTATATTATGGAATAATTATGCGGAAAAATTAATCAGTGTTTTTTCATTATTTCGTAATATAATGAATTGATAGCTTGTAAGATTTAATTTCGTTATTATTAAACGCAAATTTAATTTGCTTGGATAAAATTAAATAAAAAAAGGACAAATAAAATTAAGAAGGTTGCATGCTTAAATGAAATTACAATGTTGTTTTTTGAAAAATGATTACCTTCTTCATATGTAAAATTAATCCCAATCACGAACTGAGTTCCGCTTTTGTATTTCTTTCCCGGAATAAATTTTTTTCGTGCCGAGTCAAACTTACCTCGCGTTGCTATGTATTCTGCACTCGCTTCTTTCAATATACAATACCCATAGATCTACAACGACTTTTTTTCAATTTTTTATTTCATTTGCTCATTGAATTTATTAATCATTGCCTTTTTTACTATCGTTTTACAAATTTATCAAGCAATTTCCTTTTATTTCATTTGCTTGCTATAATTTATTGCGTCACAATTTCATGTATGAAATATACTTTTTCGATAAGATTAGAGAGATTTAGAGGGTTGGACTTCCAATACCATTTTCGATTGTAAGGCTAGTAAGAGTAGTTGGATGGGTAAGGAAGGAAAGAAAGGATTTACGATTATTGATAATTAAAAGTTCTTAAAATATTTGTAGAGATATTCAATTATGACCCAGTAATCTATAATATTTTTATAGTTTTATTAGTCAAATAGTTAAATTAGTATTAGGAAGTTACGACAAATGTCACGTTATTTTGTTGCTATTCGTTGCGAACGTTAAGTCACATAATAAGAATAAAAATGCTTTACGTAGTGCCGAGCTTGTGAATAATTAACAAAGCAACAAAGTCACAACAAAGTCATCAAGATTTTCATACTAATTAGCCACTGGAACTAATTTTATTTCTTTATTCATTGCCAAGCTAAAGAAAATTTTATAGATCCAATCAATATTTTTAGGAAACTTTTTCGCCTCTAGTTTTATAATTTTTGTCACAAATCACATCACGATTCGTGAAATGAATCCTGTTATTCCACAAGTTTTTCTTGCATTTTTCTATACATGACTGAAATTGATTCAATTTAAAAATTTTAGTAACTAAATAATAAATACCATAAAATGATATTCATAAGGAACGAATTCCCCATTCTGTTGGGTGGCTGCAAAGAAGGTAAAGCGATTTTCACCAGGTTCGATAGCTAAATCAAAATCCTTTGCTTCATCGCCCAGCGATACGTGACACTTAGTCATTTCTTGTAGAATATACACATCTTCCGATCCTGAAAATTTATTATAGATTCAAAAAAGAATGGTAGCTTTAAGTAAATCGAGAACTAGCAGTGAACTTATCAAAAATTATTATCAGTGACCAATAAAGAGGAAGTTGACAAGATTTTAATCAATAAAAAAACGTTATAATTTAATAATGCTAAACTATGTGGTCGAACTGTCTCTTTTTATGTGATATTGAGGTGGGCTCGATTGTGAATCAACAAAAGATTTCATAGTAAATAGTGGTAATAAGTCAACGACACAATAAAGAGGCAAGAATGGCACGGGAGAATGGTCAATGGAAAAAGAGATAGAGAAGGTGATATGTGTTACGATCTTTGACGGTTAAAGCAAGGAGAAAAAAGCCAAACTAAACTGGAAGATGGGAAGATCTAAGAAAAAATTAACTTTGGCTTATATCGTTCGGCTACATTATTGCTTTTATCATTGCTCCTGAAGATTTCAATTGGCTGTAAGATTTTATTTCTTCATCAGATTTTTCTTTAAGGCAAAATTGTTCCTTTATTTTTTGTTGCTCCTGCACTACTTTTATAAAATATTGAGAAAAAATGACAAGAGCTTTGCAGCTCCTCGTTTTTTCTCAACTTTAATAAAATCTTGAGTATTTATATTTTCTCTTTATGCAGAATCTATCCAAATTTTTTGGATGATTGGCTCTTAAACCACGGCAATAAAAAGTATTTTCGTTAATATCTTTTCATTTCACTGGAATGAATAACGGAGCTAGGTTCAATATTACATTTTCCGCTTAATGTTGGAGATATTTCATTAATGAAAAGTATTTTCTGTGGCCAGATCCAATATTATTTGAACATGATTATCTTCTGCACCAGTCATTATTGCCTCTTGGGGTGATTAGGAGGTGATTAGGAGCTACAGCCGCTCCATGTATTACTCTTATGGTGTGGTGGAAGACAATTATAGTGCTATAAGGACGGCTGGAAATTAAAGAAATGCAGAAGCTTTTCGAATAGGATATGCAATTTAGTCACCTTCATGAGAATTATGAAGTGGTCGCTACCTTGATTTTTTAATTAATTTTATGGTTCTTTATATAAGTAAAAAATCAGTCGTAGACTACTTATAGTACTTGCACAAGGTTATATTATAGTATAATTGCATGCAACTTTAGCGTCATTTAATATTTAATTATTTATTTAATATTCCTTTAATATAATATTATTTAATATTCTTCAGGTGGATATACGGCGATTTTCGCTGTCTAAGTTTTCTCTTTTTGTTCCACTATATCAGATCGTATTCAAGCATTAAATACAATAACCGCAACTAGATTATACATTATAATAGCATCAATTTTTATATTCGAAAAGTAGAAAGAGCATTCAAGTTTTATAATAAATAATAAAATAATAAAAAATAATCAAAATAATAAATAATAAAAAAAAAATTCACCATTAGATTTCATTTCAATGTGATAGCCATTTTTGACTAGAGTTGCCACATTTGTACCGTTCTTTATGTTTAATGTAATTCTTTGTGTTGTGGGTATTATGATGGTTGCCTTAAACCATGACATTAATATATGATATTAATATTTATTCACTTTATATGAATTTTTTATATGAAATAAGGAAATAAGAATTTTTTAAAAGAACTTTTAAGACTTGGAGACTTTGGAGATTTTAGTCCTGGCATTGACTAGAAATTATCTCCTTAAATTTTTCGGTGCAAAGACCGAAGTTCTAGAATTTCACTAAAATTGAAAACTAGAAAACTATGCAGGACCATAGTTTAGATTCGGTGATGCGTCATTTTCGCAAGCATGTATTACTTTGAAATTTTTGCCTTGAAATTTGTACCTTGAAAAAATTTGAGAATACAATCATTAAAAGTGAAAAGAAAGAGGAGTGCGTAAGAAAGGGCTTAAGCTTATTGCAGCCAATGCTGACTGATAAAGCAAGAAGAGGACAATAGCTAGTGACGGAGAAATATTTATGATAAAATTTTCTTAAAATCATTTCGCAATTCATTTCATACTAATATGATTCGACAAGGCACCAAAATTACACTAGAAAATGATCTTGGCTCAGACCTTCGAAATTTAGTATGAAATGAAATGAAATTTAGTGTGTCACGGATAATTAACTCTTCGTCAACAGATATTAGTTAATTATTTGAGAATATTAACTTACGAAAAAAGAAAAGACAATGACAATCTTAATCATTTTAAGATATCTTAAGATATCTGAATCATTCATCACATGTGATAACCATTCGTCACTCTCGAAAAACTAATAATAAAATTTTGTTTCTTAGGACTAATTTGTTGCTAGATTTCTCGTTACCTAGAGAAATTTTTTCTGCCCATTGTATCTCAGCCTTTGCTTTTATAATTGAATAGCATTATGCAATAAAATAAGCAATAAAGTAATCGTAAAAACACACATAATTTTCTGCAAATTTTTTTCATTTTATACGAAATTTTGTTCCTCTCGAATCATTGATAAAGGAAATTATAGTGAGAAAGAATGGCTCAATTGGGTGGAGCGAGTTTTGGGTTTGTCAGAGTGGGTTCGGTGCTCCACGTGGCAAATGTGCAGTGATGATTGCAAAAATCTGTCAATCCACTGAAATTTGGTGATTAGAAATATGATATGGTATCTGAGCACGAGTATTTGAGTCTTAGGGAAAATAGTGGACGCGCACTGCTTGGTGCTCATTTGCTTAGACTGTAGTGAATGAATGGGAGATATTTTGTTGATTAAATTTCAAATGTATTTTGGATTAAACTATAATATATATATATATAAATATTCTTTGAATCATTGTTATCGTTAGCATTGCAAAATAGAAGTACAGGTAAGGTAAATGACGTTGTGCAGTTGTTGACGAAGTTCCCATTTAACGACAGCAACAATCTTTAGAATCTTCACATACCACAATGATTTTGATTTTATCATAATTTTGATGTTTTTCAGGATATTTTCCCTCTTTGATTAGAACCTCTCATTCTTTTCAAAATTAATGGAATTTGGCCCTCTGTTATTTTTATTGAATAATCTTTCCCCATTAACGAGTTGTGCGGTGGAGTCTCCCCATTAATTAAAAATAGTGAATGTAATAAAGTAAAAGTAATGAAGTAAAATAAGCATTTCTGGTTAACGAAAATTTTAGCTGGTTAACGAAAAATTTTTGCGAAGGAACTATTTGAGGATAAAGTTCCAGGATAAGAGCATCATTCTCTTTTTTTAATGGCAGTTTTGTTCTAAACTCTCGATAGTCGAGATAATAATTTAAGCAAGAAAAGCTATCTTATCATATTTTCATAAAAATATATTTTTTATGTACTATACTATGTTTCCTCGTCTCATTTCAAATATTTATATTATATTATTCATATATTATTTTCTTATCTCTGGGCCAATTCGGTAAAATAAACTAAACTGCAGTTATGATTTGATTTATAATCATTAATAATTATTTAGATTTTATTCTGTTTAAGAAAAAGATATTGCAGCAAAATTTCTGAACTATATTAATCAGTAAGTTTTTCTTATTAAATTGACAAAAAGCAATGGTGTTAAACTATTGGAATCTATCAATCAAGCGGCCGATCAAACTGATTCTGTTTTTTTTTTAGCAATTCTTATTTATTATTCATTTATTTTAGAAGCCTACGCATTTTCGTACCGATTTTTGCTATTTCAATTAATATTTCATTGTTTTATCACTCTTTTAATTTAGAATGTTTGCATTAATTTCAAGATTTTTTAGTATTTTTTTAAATTTATAATTTACCAAATTCTTGGCCAATTGGAAATATATGATCACAAATCTTATAGAAATAGGTTTTATGCGATGTATTTTGGATATATTATTTTGTATGCTTTAAATGTCTTGGAAATTTTTTTCCTGGAATGGTTCGCCGTTGATATTTCTTCTATGCAGTTTTTTGGTTGTTTGCCGGAAATGCTATGCTATAATGATATGCAGAAATTCCTATCCACTGAACCTATTTTCTCGGGAATTTATATTTGTTTAATTTGAAAAAATACATTTGTTTTTTTCCGAAAAACTAATAAATCATGGAATGCAAATAATTCACTGGGATTTTTCTTTTAAAGTGCTAAAACATCAAAACTATAAATATTTTTGATAATTATTTTAACAATTGTTTGCAGTGGAAAGGAAAGTTCATAGTAAAAAAAATTAGAAGAATGTAGTTTGTCTAACATTTTGGATAGAGTCAGGTGAAAAAAATTTATAAATGGCTGACCTCGTCATCGAACATCGAAGTCGATCATTTGAAAATATTTTTTAGAAATATTTTTTTTTAGAAATTGTTTTTAAAATGGATCGACTTCGGCCGGTTTCTATTTTTTCTTCGTCAATTTAATTAATTCGGATTTAGAAATAAATAAAATTTTCACTTTTATTTTCTATCACAGAAACGACAATGACCTAATACGAATGGAAAAGTTTGAAAATGCTTTAGTACCACTAATTTGGTCAATTGAATGAGAAGGTTTATTTTTTGAATGGTAAGTTGCTTTAATTTAAAAATATTTCAAAAAACTGAAATGTTATTAATAAGTGAATTCATTCCAAATGCAATCCGAAGTATTCCATAGTTAAATAAATCGAAGCAATTCTACTACTGCCAGCGATAGCGTGCGACCAAGCAACTTAGAGAGCCAGCGCAACCAGCCTAACCAATTATGGTACCAATTGTTTGAAGAAGTTGAAACAATGTAAAGAATTCAAATTTGAATTCAGATCGATTTAACTAACATAAATAAATAATTTGCGACGAACTTGATATTGCTGATTAATTATGATGCGATATCGCAAAGTAGAAAAGTAAATAAGATGTTAAAGCTTATAATTTCTAGTTAGGCTCACCACATCAACGCAATTAGAAATTTTTCTCAGTTGGGGTTGAAATATGTGCTTTACCTTACAACATCCATTTTTTAATGACATCTTTATTTGCCTTCGTACTCCTTATAACATTCGCTCCTCTGACTGCCCGACTTTTATTTTCATTCAAATAGTTTGGATGCTTTTCACTGTTTTTTGTTATCAGAAATGAATGACGAAAAAATTTTCAAGGCATTGCCACTATTCTTGATATTTCATCAAATGTTTCCCTTTTTTTTATCATTCATTTCTAATTATTATTTCTATTAATTATTTCCTAATATTACATTTAATAGGTTTTATTCGAATTGCATGTAACCATTTATTAACGC